CAAAAGTCATTAACTCAGTTGAAAATGCTTTGAGGAAGGTTTATGGGGGCCCGAATGGTTCAAAAGTATCCCTTATTGATAGAAGTATACTTATATTAAATATTGCCACGTTGAATTAGTAAATGGCATTGCAGTATTAATTTTTGGCAATGCAATGAATTATACTTCTTTGCTTGCGAACTAATAACCTGGCAACATTATCAGAATACACACTCTCAATTAATTAAATATGTACCAATGCCACCTCCCTAGCAAATATGCAAAGTATCCTCGCTGAGGAAAGGGAGAAATAACATAATTTGTTGGTGGAAAATTTTAAATTAAAAACCAAGTTATTCGACGAAGGAGCACCTACTGGTAGCCACGAAAGCCGTGAAAACCTTTCAATCAACGTCAAACATCAAAGAACAGCACCTTGCAAGAGACGGTCTTAATCTTAATTTCAGAGGTAACAAGCAATTGGCACTGAACTTTATTCAAAAACTTAGATCGTATTCATTTTGATTAAACAAGTATGACTCGACAGTAATATATGAAAGCAAAAGAGTTTTAATATACATAATAATAATAGCTTAAAAATTTGGATAACATCAATATAAATACAGTAAATGAAAACCCCGAATCATACGTCCATGAAACCGTAGATGAAAAAATACCTGATTCCTGCGAATTAAATACAGTTGACATTTTTAAGAATATCAGGATTAAAGATAAAAAGGGTCTCATAATAGCATACCTAAACATTAACTCTATCAGGAATAAAATTGAACCATTAAAATTAATGGTTTCAAAATATGTTGACATTCTTACAATCGCCGAAACTAAAATAGATGAAACTTTTACAACAAGTCAATTCATGATCGAAGGCTTTGGAGAACCTTTCAGAAAGGATAGAAACAAAAATGGCGGAGGCCTTCTCACCTATGCAAGGGAAGGGATCCTTGTTAAAGAGCTAACAAATTACAAATTTCCTAATGACATTGAAATTTGCACCACCGAAATAAAACTTAGAACAAAAAAATGGCTACTACTTAGCATATATCGCCCACCCTCCCAGTGCCCAAGCTATTTCTTTGAAAAGATCGAAAAAGGAATCGATTTCTTCAGCAACAAATTTGAAGATCTTATCGTTATGGGCGATTTCAATTGCGAAGTGGGTGACAACGCAATTAAGGCTTTCATGGACACTTATAAATTAGTTAACTTGATCAAGAATCCAACCTGTCACAAGTCAGACAACCCACGATGTATAGATTTGATACTGATAAACTGTAAGACCCCGTTTACACGAGACCGGTTCCAAAAAGATCCGTATCCATTTGAGTTCACTCCCTCCTGTTCACACGAGACCGTCTCCAAAAATGTTCACTTACGCTTTCTGTTCACACGAGACCTGAACTCAAGATCGTTTGTGAAAAAAAGCTCAAAACACTCGAGTCGAAGGCCCCTATTACCGTGACAACAAAAGTGAAAAGGCGCCAAATTCGCTTCACTTTCGCTTTATTTCTAAAGTTACTCCACCAGGTTTCTGTTCTCCAAAGGCCTCGTCCAGAAGGTTCTCCTCTTTAATTTCTTTTCAATTATCAGCTTGTGCCAAACGATCATGTCGTTTGCAGCTCTGTTCTGCTAACGCAACCAACCTGTTTTGTCGACTTCGATGAACCTTCAATCATTAGGGTTGCGAACAAGAAACTACTACTGACTGCTGCAGAGTGTGCACATAAAACTGACATCAATTTCAACGTTATTTTGAACTGTTTTTCCATTATTAGAGCGTACTTGTTTCCTGGCGATTGTCACGATGGTGCGTAAAAAGGGCACCAAAGCGAACAAACGAAAATGCTTCCTCTTGCTATAGCCTCCGTCGCTGGAGAATTTACCCTCGTTACGGTAGCGTACTCAAAAAGATCCAGTTTCGAGTGTTTACACGAGACCAAGTGAGACCGGCTCCAAATGAGTACGCTTTCGTAGGTGAACTCAAATGAGTACGGCTAGGTTATCTCAAATTATTACGGTTAGGCAGGTGTCGTGTAAACAGAACGCCTAAGTGAACTCAAATGGATACAGATCTTTTTGGAACCGGTTTCGTGTAAACGGATTCTAAAAGTCACTTTCAAAACACGACTAATGTTGAAACAGGGTTGTCTGACTTCCACGTAATGATACTGAGCATACTCAAATGTGATTTCACCAAGAGAGGTCCCAAAATACTTACATATAGAGACTACAAAAAATTCGATATTCCGAGCTTTAGATGTGAAATTTTGAATAATCGAATACTAAACTTTAAAGACTACGGAAGTGTTGATATCTCAGTCAAAAGTCTTCTTAATAAACATGCCCCCATTAAGAGAAAGTATGTTCGTGCAAACGATGGGCCATTTATGACGAAAGAATTACGTAAGGCAATAATGCATCGTAGCAAATTGAAAAATAGATATACTAATAACAAAAATGAGGATAATCATAAATCATATAAACGGCAAAGGAACAAATGTGTAAAGTTATTACGTAATGCTAAATTTTGTTTCTTTGATAAAGCGGTTATTTTAGGAACCTAGACTTAAGTAATCTTACAGATAATCGCAAATTCGGGAGAGCGATCAAACCGGTCTCCATTACATTGGAAGAAAATGGAGAATTAATTAGTGATGACCGCAAGATTGCAGAATTATTTAACAACTACTTTATAAACATAACACAAGATCTAGGAATTCAATAAGATATATCTCACATATCAGCTACAGATGGTATAAATGACCCAATTGATAAAGCCATTGAGCAATATAAAAACCACTCAAGTATCATAAAAATAAGAGAAATGTACCCTGACCCACAGCCTTTTGAATTTAGGGAAGTTAACAGTGGGGGAAATTAGGGATCAGATAAACAAACTTAATAATCATGACCTAATGATTGCTAAACTCAATGCTTATGGTTTTAGTAGAAGTACCTTAGCCAGAGGAAACTAAAGAGGAAAGAGTCAAAATAAACGGCTCTTTCTGTGAATGGAAAACCACGAGTAAAGGTGTGCCACAAGGATCAGTTTTGGGACCTCTCTTGTTCAATTTATACATAAATGACATAGCCAAATATGCAATTATGCTCATGACACAACGCTTTATGTCGTCCACCAAGACATTAAGCAGGCTATTAAAATACTAGAACAAGACGTAGTTATTTTTGAGAGAATGGTTTCAAAATAATTATATGAAAATTAATGGGGACAAATGCCACCTTATAAATTTTGGTAAAGGCAGCAATGACACATCTCTGAAAATAGATAAAAAGATAATGAAACCAAGTAAAAAACAAAAACTTCTTGGAATAAGTATTGATAATAATTTGTCGTTCAAAAGACACGTACAATCGATATGCAAAAAGGCCAGCCAAAAGCTACATGCTTTATCCCGAATCTCCAACTACATGGATGATAGAAAAGTAAAACAGACCATGCACGTCTTCATTTTATGATAATTTAGCTACTGCCCTTTAATTTGGATGTTTTGTGATCGACAGATGAACAACAGAATAAACAGAATTCATGAAAAATCTTTGTGTCTTGCCTATGATGACTATGAATCAAGCTTTCAAACTCTTCTTGAAAAAGACAACTCGACGTCTATCCATGATAAAAATCTGCAATTGCTTCTTACAGAAATATATAAAACTTTACATAATCTCAACCCAAGTTTCATGAAAGAAATCTTTACTGAAAGAAATACATGCTATAATTTTAGAAACATATCCCGAATATCGCTATCAAAACCAAAATCAAATTGTTATGGTATAGAAAGTAGAACCTTTATGGGATCCAAGCTCTGGCAAGAGCTTACAAATGACATTAAAACATCTTCTAGCCGCGCAATATTTAAGAAAAAGATTAAAATTTGGAAAGATACAAAATGCAACTGCAGACTATGCAAACCTTACGTTGCGCAGATTGGATTCTTGAAATAGTCATCGAATAATTGTATATTTTTAACTAATGAGTCATCCTTTTAATTTTGTACATTTCCTATATCATTTTATCCATTCATTGTAATTAAATTAAGATTTGTAAATGCAGTATAAATAGTAGGCTTTAATTAGCTGTTGTATTAGCTAAAAAAATTTGAACTCAACGAACGGCTATTTTTAGCAATTACGAACCATACATTGTACTATTGAGTTGTGTAAGTCACTCAATTGGTTTTATTTACGATATATACGCCGAACCCCGTACACTACATTAATCCATCCAACTGACTCTACTTAAACTACAACTTGTATATATTATGTACGAATGGAATCTAAAATTAGCAATACACGATGATTATGGTAACGAACCGATAACAAGTAAAAGGAAGGGCTAGGCTAAATGATGCCATGCAACGTAAACATATCTAAATCAAAAATATGCAAAAATGATAGAAAACTACGCAAATGGTAAAGCAACAACATAGGGACGAGAATGAGTAACCTATGACTAGGCCTAAACAATGCTGAGAAAATCCCGCACCTACAACATAAACAATGGAAGGGGGCGTCGCCAACATGAGACAATGCTATGACGCGAAATGACGCGAGACATGTGACGTACGAACGAGATGTATGCCACAGCTAAGGATATGCAAAAAGGAACATAGAGAAAATCCTAACAATGAATGGGCTAAGGGGTATCTAGCAAAATGGCCTAACTATACTTAAGAAAATTGTGACACTAAATTCAATAGCTGTAGATGGTCTTTATTTCTTAGATTAGAGTTATTATCGTTTTCAAAGAAAAGTTTTTCCATGAAATCTTGATTCAGATTGTTCTTTGTCTTGAATACTTCAATCATTACCAGATGGCACTGATTAACAGTCTAATTTTTGTTGGAGAAAGACAAGCTGTTCAAAACCAAACTGTGATTGAAACCAGAAACATTTTGGTTCACCAGAGTTATTAATGGCGTTCCACTGTTAAAATTTTTCTTTTTAAAGATCATGACACCTCATTAGGGTTTTTTCGGTTTTAGGTAGTGCGAAGTTAAACATAAATCACACAGAAGTAGCAGATGGTTTGGCAGGGTTTGCATCATGATGAAAACTGAAAGATTTTGCCTACTGTTGGGATCGAAAACCAAGCAATGCGACTAGATATTGAAGAAAAAATTCTTGTGGTTACAACTAAGACTTGTGATTCAAGCAGTAAAGCCAAAGTTGCTGCTATCAATTCTTTTGGATATGGTGGAAGTAATGCTCATTTGATTGTGCGAGAAGCTGATACAAAAAATGAACATAGCGTGAATGTTAAGAAGATATCGCACCACTGTAAAGGGTCCATGAAGGTTTTCGTTATTTCAGCAAGGTCCCAAGCAGCCTTGATCGATTCAGCAGTATCATTTAGTGACTGGCTTCTTACATTGGAAGACAACGATGAGAATATTTCTAATGTCTGTTACACACTATGTGAGCGACGCTCCAATCACAACGCTCGACTAGCGATAGCAGCTGCGAATTTGAAAGAAGCAAGAGAATTGTTGACCAGGTTCTCCGTCAATCCTAAAGACAAAATCACAGGCATAACCGCTGGAAAGACCTCAAAACACTGCACTTCTGTTGCTTTCGTGTTTGGTGGGCAAGGATCTCAATGGCTTGGGATGGCAGGTGACATTCTTGCCAACCCTACAATGTTTAAGGAGATTAAAAGGATTGACAAACGATCAAGAAAAAGAGGACATAAAGGATCTTTGTTGGCATATCTGAAGCTCCACATGGAGAAGATTAAAAATATAAAGAAAACTGTCTTGTAGAAGTACATCTGTTTGTACAATCATGTGGATATTCGCTGATAATATCATGTCGAAAGTGTTGAAGACCGGAGAAGGCAAAATATGTCGAAGACATATTTATTGCTGGCAATGATTCTGTGAGAGGCTTGACCTGGGCTCTTGCTTCGGTGGCATCCTCCAAAGATTTGGAGGTTTCATGGGAAGATAACTCTAATGGCAATTCGAAGCAGCGGCTGTTAAAAGATATCTCAAATGAATATTTGAAAGCCAATAGGGTTCATAGAAAACCAGTGGATTGTGTAATCTACCTCTGTGACATCTACATGGTTCGTCATGAGGCTTTGATACGGCCAACAAGAAAAGGTAAGGCTCTTTAAACAATCGTAAATTTTCAGTAATGCGGGCTAAAAGTCAAGTATTACAAGGTACTTGATGCTTTAAACTGAAGATATGCTCAATGACTGATATAGAGATATATGAATGCAAGCTTTGGTATACAGAAAAAGACGGTTCTAAGTAGTGACTCCATCTGTTATCTTGCGTTAACAGCTTTGTCTATACAAAAGAGCTGTATCGCGTTTATTGTGCGTATCCTCTGTATGCGGCATCGGGTACTATATAAAAAGCCAAGTTTTACATTGATTTTATTTTAAATAAATATACAGTGGAATCCCGATATAACGAACTCTGAAGGGACCCAGCAAATAGTTCGTTATATCGGGAGTTCGTTGAACCGGGAAAAACATTTTTTAGATCTTTTCGTAGTTCACACGCAAAAATCCTGCGATTGGCTTGTTTAGGCTATCTCTAACTTCTGTGCACATTTAACTAAAAAACCAAGCTGAATTCAAATGTTACTAATGGTTAGTCATTTAAAATGAAAATCTTTATGTTCCTCTTATTATTTAGGACTAAGAGATTGGCAAAACTGGTATCACTTCACTTCTATTTGGCGACTGAACGACATCTTCGATTACTTCACATTCTTATTTGTCTTCTTCTGCTTCTCTATCTGGGTCTCTCAATAAATGTTTGTCGTCACTCATTGCCAATGTCTCGTATTTAAAGAGGTATTCGTTAGTGTCAATGTACTCATTCGCAGTAATTTCTGACGCAATCAAACTTTTATCTCGTGCTCTGAGTTAATCAGCCAGTGCTTGAAATGTATCATCGGCATGTTTTGCCGGCTATGAAAATGATTTCCCACCAGATTAAGTGATAAATGAATACTAAAGTAAATAGAAAAAAAATAACAGATAAAAAATTTATGAAAACTTTGTTATAACGAGGGTAATTATGAAGAAGGGACCAAAAATTGGGTTCGTAATAACGAGAGTTCGTTATATCCGGGGTTCGTTATACCGAGAGAATTTATAACGAATTTGTTAGGCAGAATCCAAGTGACCAGACATCTAGTTCGTTATACCGGGAACTTCTTAATATCCGGGGTTCGTTATATCGGGATTCCAGTGTAGATGCAGTCCACTTAAAAGGGATAGAGTTCGCGCTCTCTATCACAATACCATTGCATAAACCATCGATGGGTATCAAAGGTTTCAAGGCGGTTTTTGGAAGAACTCTTGGTTTGAGCAGGGTGTCATCTTTGGCAACAAGAAGTGGATTTTTAATTGTTACTAAATACTTTTAGATGTGAATAGAAAGATAATCTTTTTATTGGTATCACACAGCTTTACTCCACTTCTTACATAGAAATATAACTGTTGATGCTATCAGAATATATTTTCTTCCAATCTACGTACCTCAGGTTCTCTATTGATACTTTATTAAGGAAAAATAAAACATAACCAGTTTTGCAATTGTAAAAGTTTTTGGCATTTCTAAAATTATCTCTGCAAATGCCAGAACGTATTAAAATGATGGTTGCAGGGTCTTTGTTGAGAATGTGTTGGCTTGGTATTACTTAACAAGAATGTTGCTTGGAAAATTCGAAGTTCGTAAACCTGCAATTCAGATTGAGTGTATATTTTCTTCCGTTTTTCTATTGTTTTGCTTAAATGAGGCAATTTGAAAATTGTGAATAAGATAAGCTGATGGAGCAGAAGTTTCTCCTTCACAGCGAGGAGTCGGTTGCAACACTCGTTGACAATATGTTTGCTTCAAATTACCGCAAAGACAAAAACGTCTTCGATAAATTTTCAACTGCTTTTTGCTGGATTTTTTTACTTCATGCAAACAGAAGCGAAATCAAATAAGCTTGCAGAAAAACTTCAAAAGCGATCCATAAAAAAATTATCAGTTCCAGTTTGAAGGCTTATGACATGGAAGAAGACGCAGAAAATGAAATGAATGGCGAAAGGGCCGTCTCATTAGGCTTTTAAAGTTTACTGTTGCCTTTGGGTTCTACACTCCAAATTGAAGTTTCTACGTTTGATCTGCTTCAAACATGAGCAATTGAAATCTAAATTAATTTTATCAGAATCTTATTTTTATGGAACTTTTTCTTCCAGAGAAAGATGTAGACAGGTTCGTCATGCCTAAGAACTATTTATCTGTTATCTGCAAATCCGAAAACTCACCAACAAATATGTTCATAGTTTACCCATTTCACAGATATTCTGGAGTGTTTCAAGTTCTTAGCATGGGAATGAGATACCAGGTAAACCATCATTGCTCTCTCGCTGGCTCCCCTCCCTGTGAAGAGAGAAACTGTTAACAACGTAATGATAAGCAAATAGAGCAATGAGCAATGATTCAAACAACGCTTCAGTTCAGTTTCGTTCAATTATTAATCCATCCTACATACAATTTTACAAAATTACGATCAAATTAAATATAATAAACTAAGTCAACTTACTAAATTTTACAAAACTACAATTTTGAAAGGAAAGAGCCTTTCATGATTCCATATAGAATAGGTTTATTAATGGGGTCTTAAGTTCAGCAGGTCTTGTAGACCAAAGAGTATTAATCTCATTTAGCTTTTTGTTGGATTGAGGAGACATTGGCTCAGTGAACAGGCTTGTGAAAGCGTGCATTGAGCTAATGCTGGAAGTTCCCCCATACGACCGATATTTCCTATGTGTTTATTTTTTTTGGGAGGTTTTGACTCTCTAGAAATGGCACCAATTTTGAAATGTTTGAGCAAAGAAGTAGCTTTGGTGATAATGATTGACACAGTCTAGTGGTTGCCATCTGGAAAATGTAACTTGCAGTTGCTTTTGGATATGGTCGAATGAAACCGAAAAACATAGAAAAGTAAGTTTTTTGTAACAAAAATCGCATTATCTGTTATACAGGGCGGAACTGTTCTTATCAAATTTTACCCAGGAAAACAAAATAACATTCGTCCATCTTCCTTTTAAAGATATAGAGGCGCTTTTGAAAATGCAAAGGGCAAGAGATGATGCTCCAACCCATTGTTTTTAATAATATTTTACAGAATAGGAATTTAAGCAGGGACTTTAAAACTGGGAGGATTCGGAGGCCCATGATCTTGAGTAAGAAGGATTTTTCAAGATGCACCGTAGTAAGAATTTTTGAGAAAATGTCACTTTATCTGCTATATAGTCCTTCTTACTACCCGTGAGGTTCTCCCAAGATCCTTGTTGGCGAGAGTTGTCATTATTTTGAATATCAACTGACGTACTTTCAATTTATCTTATATTTACAATTTGATCTTAAATTTTGTGCAATGTTCTTGCTCAACATTTGAAATATTAAATTTTGGGAATAATCTGAAAATTTTTCAAATAAAGAAGAGATTAAACAAAAACAGTTCATCGACGAAAAATAAATATGACTTAAACACAAAGAATTACTAGTGCAGTCTCTTAAAGTTCTTAAGTATGACGTCATAGAAAATATGTTTTAAGAAATTTCTAATTTTGAATACATAGCCTTAAAGATAAACACAAAATACTCTGAAATATGAAAAAATTAGACAAATGTTTAAAAAATCAGGTAAGATATTGTTAATGAAATATTTAAATTCTGCTAACTGATCATTGTTATTTTGGCACTGGTCATAAAGTTATGAACAGACCAAATTACAGAGAGACCAAATTACAGAGAGACCAAATTACAGAGATACCAATTACAGAGAGACCAAATTACAGAGAGACCAAATTACAGAAGTTTGATGGGGGAAAAGCCTGCGCTCATGTGGCCATATCTCAGCAAATCCATAGTACATTTAACTGACTTTACAAGTTTTGGTGTTCTAATAACTTTCTCTGTACGTCAGTAAATATTTCATGCAGGCTAACAAAAGCTGTCACTAATTTTTGGTTAATTCTTCGCTGAAAAGCCCTTTAAAATCCTTCTACTCTACCTTTTCCCTCTAAGCCACATCAAGTCAAGACACACTAAGCCAGACAGCCCTGCCTTATTCTTTTAAAAAGAATACCATGTTGTAAAAGTCACACTACGCCACTGCATAGTAAAAATGTCCACTGCGCCCAAAAATATCATATAAAAAATATCCCAAAAGACTCTCAACAAATGTGTGTTGTATCCAAAAAAATTCCCAATATTCGTGGGGCAATCTCTCCGTCAACTTCCATCAAAAAACAAACAGGACACCAATCGAGAGCACATCTTGTTTATCAAAGTTTTCCCAACCAGTTGGGCATTTCTCTTTATTTCTAATTTTGAAAGAAACTATCGTTTAGTATTGCTACAAATCAATCGATGCTTAAATGGTTTGGTACCCAGTAGAAGATACTTCATACTCAAGACATGCAAATAATTCTGTTGATATGAAGGTATGTGTAAAATTGTTCTCGTTTTTTCAGGGCAGAGAAAACGAAGACACCTTGACATGATACTTTCATATGTTTAGCACTATTCACATGGGCCTTAATTGCGACTAAACGGTTAATGTTACAAGTTACGAAAAATTCATTCGAGTTACTTTCTACCATTTCACTGACCTACGCCAAAGAGTGGCTGACCTTTTTTATTGAAGCTTCTTCCAGTAACTCACTACGGTTTAGACTTACGCACGTTCTTATCAGGTTTATGAACTGTTTCCTGAAATAAGGCTAACCTGTGGCTTTCCACATATCATGTGCTACTATTCTTTCCAAATTATACGCAAAAGATATCTACAATGCCTAAACTTCACAACAGTATGTTAAGGTCAGATAACTTTCAACGTTTATTTTGTTACCTGTAGCAGCATCTTTAAAATCTAGTGAAGTCATTGGCATTGTTCAGCTCATTCACTATGCATTGTTCTAAGGAAGAAACACACTTTGCCCTCGTCCTTGAATCAAACCTCCGGAGGCCAAAAGTGTCCCAGCTTTACAGATGAGGTAGAGCGATGAAAGAAAGAGCGCGAGAAAGCACCTCGATTGGCTGTTTATCAGGCTAGTCACAAGAGATCATCCATCACAAACAGCATAAAAATAGTAACTCAAACGAATTGATATGCCCCGCGTGAAATCAAGGATATTTCAAAATTTGGAATCATGTGGGTCTAGCCTAACGTTCAATTTGTTTGTTCTTTTCATTGCAAGATGTCTGATTGTCTCGAGTTTATCTAATGACCCGTACGCAAAGTTTGAATTCTTCAACTCTGGAAATGGATGTGAGAGGTAGCTAAGAGTCGGCTTTTTGGAAAATGCTGTGTTGGAGATGCAGAAGGATGTGTGTAGCCTAGTTCTTTGCAGATCTCGTTCTATCCGAATCAAGGTAAGATTTTGAACCTTCGTTTATCATTGGAATATAATTTGCCATCCCCAGCTTCTGTTGCTGATACGGTTTCATCGGCTGGAACACGACTCTAATTTTCACGACTCTTCTTTAGCTTTGCCTAAAATTTAGATTGGATTTATTTCTCAACTTTTTTTGACGCAAAGCTGGAAGTTCCAGCTTTTTAGTAGCTGGTGCTTTCCACTTTTTCCTTTTATTCAATGCAAATGAAATCAAAAGTTTTGTTTGTTTTGCCAGTTTTGACCGTACCATGCGATCCACCTTCCCAAAGTTGAACCGGTTGGTGCGCAGCTAATTAAATTGGTCAAATGCGAAAACAATTCCAGAGGCAACCAATTCATTTTTTTTGATTGGGCTGAGCGCAGTGCGTTTATGCAAGCATTATGTCCAAGTTGCTCTCGATGATGCGAGAACGTAGTCAATTGATACCTATCGAATGTGTTTCTGAGGGGGCTTATTTACCTTAATTTTATTTTGTTACTTTTTTTCTGAGTTAGAAAATTAATGTTAAACTGGTCAGATGTAGAGTGGTAGATGCCGCATACAGAACCGTACACGCAAGTCAGTTCTGCTGTATAGGCAAAGCTGTACACGCGAGATTAGCAGAGTCGCTACTCAAAACATTCTTGCTCTGTATACCAAAGAACTATTCATATATTTCTATATCAATCATTGATCAAAACACTTCTCCTCAGTTACAAGCTTAAAGTATCTTAAAATATTTGACTTCTAGCCCACTTATTGCTCAAAATTTACGCTTGCCTGAAGAGCCTTACCTTTCCTGGTTGCACTTATCAAAGCTTCACGATCAACCGGGTGAAGATCTAGGGGCAGATTACACAATCAATCAAATAGTTTGCGTTTGCGTTGTATGTATCCTATTTGCTTTCAGACGTTCATCTGAAATTTCTTTTAAGAGCCAGTGATTGCACGATCTTCCCATGTAACCTCCAAATCTTTAGAGGACGCTAGCCGAGGAAAAGCCCAGGTAAAGCCTCTCACATAATTATTGCCAGCAATAAAGATTATTGTTATCCCTTCTCCAAGGACCGAGATACTGGGGGGGGGGGGCTTGCCTCCCCTATAAGCAGAATACTTTTATTTTGCAAAATATGACTTCAAACAAAACGTTGTATCTCGGTCTTTGCCTTTCTCCCGTCTTCAACACTTTCGACATAATCTTATGACAATGGGAACAGCCAATTTCTTTAGAAAATATAGAACAATCATTGCATTATATTGATTTTTGCATTTATAGCAAACTTTGTAAGAGAATACTTTGCAAGAAAATTTCAAACTTTGACGAGTTCTTTCTCTCTGAAGTAAGTTTCCAGTGTTCCTATTCTGCTATTCCTTAACGGATCATGATGATACGTTTTAGAAAGTTACATGGAAGCTTGAAATATCATAAAACAATACCAAAAGCACATTGTAGCAAATGTTTAGATTCTGTTATTCGTACATTCTTAAGAGGGTGCTTTGAAGTTCCAGTATGTGATGAGATGTACTATCAGGCGTTGTGTCACCAATCTCTGTATAGCTTCTTTTTAGCCAAAGTATACCTCGAGCTTGGAACGAGCCTAGCTAGTAGCCATCTTAGTTTTCCGCATACGGTGCTCGTCACGTCATGTTCCAAAACACGCTACAACAATACATGCGTCACTACACAACATCACCCCCCTTAAACAAAGTTTAGTTATTCGAACGAGAGAGTCTCACATAACGATTGGTTAAAAATATGAACTATGAAACTGAATTTGAAAATGTGTACAAAAGAATACGAGTCTTTTGTTTCAACATAACAATTGATTAGGTTTAAAAGAAATAAAACTGCGACTAACGTCTCCATGATGACTTACTGTGTAGTTTGAAATGTCACACTTGTTTCATGGAAATAGTTTGGTCGAGCAGTGATCTTTTTGGAATATCTTTTTTCTTGATTATTCGTTTCGTCTTTCTCCTCTTCTTTTACATTCCGAGAAATTCCATTATCAAGGAAGCCATTATCAATTTCATAACTTTCATCTTCTGATTTAATCAAACTGTCCTTTACTCCTACTCTTCTAAAGAAAGATACTTTCCTTGCAGTATTCTTTCCATTTTTACTTGTAGTAATCATTGGTCCCAGTGGCGGATCTAGACAAAAATTTGAGTGGGTTCCAATATGGGCGTGGTTTCATATTTTTCTGGCACGCCCTTGACTTTTGTCCCAAATTGGGCGGCGCCCATTTTCGCTTTTTGATAAGATTCACAATTGCAAGATTTGATTTTAACAAGATATATTATTTTATCATGATTTCAAGGCAAGTAAAAAAATAAATCTGTAAACCAAACCAGGAATTGTCATTATGAATTCTAAAAGAATGGTTTCGATTTCTTGCCAAACAGAGGACCTTAATAAATTCCTCTAGCTGGTTACAGCAGGACATAAGCTTGCTGAGTGTTGCATAATTTGAGTGAAGTTCCTGCTATAAATATTGCCAAATAATAAACAAGACAATTTAGATATATTCACAAAGTTTGTCAAAAATGGATAACGATGGATGAAGCCTCTTATCATATATAGCAAACAAACCCAATTATTAACAAGTGCAAATTATGACATCATCTTATCCCATTCTCTAAAGTCTTTCATTTTATCTTAATAAAGTTCTCTCATTCTATAGATAAATATATTCTGTATAGGGCTTCAAGAGTTCTATAAACTTTCCACGTCAAAGAGAAAATATCTTCGACATTCCTGAGTTCCTGCCAAGAATTCTCTGCTGCTAATTGCAACGAATTCTCTCGTGAACGCCACTTTACAGCTATCTGAAATGGACTTTTCGCTTGATCCATGAGCAAGGCGTGTTTGTAAAGCTTTGTCGAAGATTCATAGCACTTTTCCATACGATTATCAAATTTCATTGATCTTCAGGTGCCGGTCCCTTCCTGGTTGAGGGCTTAAAACAAGCTCTCGTCATCGTGCAGTCAAAGCCTCTACTCACAGCTTCAAGTCGCCATTATGACAACAGGAAGCATGTATGGTCAGCGGTTTAAATAAGTTCCAATGAGTTCGGGAGATGGGTTCCAAGAGGGTTCTTTTGTTTGTAGTAAAAACAATTTAAGACAATTGATTGCCATGGCCACGACAGGGTTCCTTTCTTTAGAGGAGTATAGTATGTTACAAAAGATAACCATGGCTACGACAGGGTTTCTTTCTTTCACAATACCATGTTTAGAGAGCAGCAAAGGTTTTGGTACAAGAGGCCATTTGACGTTGGGACTGGTTACGATTAATTCAAAAGTAAAGGGAAAAGATTAAACAGATTAAAGAAGAGATTAAGAAATAAAGAAGAGATTAAACAAAAACAGGTCATCGACGAAAAATAAATATGACTTAAACACAAAGAATTACTAGTGCAGTCTCTTAAAGTTCTTAAGTATGACGTCATAGAAAATATGTTTTAAGAAATTTCTAATTTTGAATACATAGCCTTAAAGATAAACACAAAATACTCTGAAATATGAAAAATTAGACAAATGTTTAAAAAATCAGGTAAGATATTGTTAATGAAATATTTAAATTCTGCTAACTGATCATTGTTATTTTGGCACTGGTCATAAAGTTATGAACAGACCAAATTACAGAGAGACCAAATTACAGAGATACCAATTACAGAGAGACCAAATTACAGAGAGACCAAATTACAGATAGACCAAATTAGGGAGAGACAAAATTACAGAGAGACCAAATTACAGAGGTTTGATGGGGAAAAGGCCTGCGCTCATGTGGCCATATCTCAGCAAATCCATAGTACATTTAACTGACTTTACAAGTTTTGGTGTTCTAATAACTTTCTCTGTACGTCAGTAAATATTTCATGCAGGCTAACAAAAGCTGTCACTAATTTTTGGTTAATTCTTCGCTGAAAAGCCCTTTAAAATCCTTTTCCCTCTAAGCCACATCAAGTCAAGACACACTAAGCCAGACAGCCCTGCCTTATTCTTTTAAAAAGAATACCAGGTTGTAAAAGTCACACTACGCCACTGCATAGTAAAAATGTCCACTGCGCCCAAAAATATCATATAAAAAATATCCCAAAAGACTCTCAACCAGTGTGTGTTGTATCCAAAAAAATTCCCAATATTCGTGGGGCAATCTCTCCGTCAACTTCCATCAAAAAACAAACAGGACACCAATCGAGAGCACATCTTGTTTATCAAAGTTTTCCCAACCAGTTGGGCATTTCTCTTTATTTCTAATTTTGAAAGAAACTATCGTTTAGTATTGCTACAAATCAATCGATGCTTAAATGGTTTGGTACCCAGAAGTAGATACTTCATACTCAAGACATGCAAATAATTCTGTTGATATGAAGGTATGTGTAAAATTGTTCTCGTTTTTTCAGGGCAGAGAAAACGAAGACACCTTGACATGATACTTTCATATGTTTAGCACTATTCACATGGGCCTTAATTGCGACTAAACAGTTAATGTTACAAGTTACGAAAAATTCATTCGAGTTACTTTCTACCATTTCACTGACCTACGCCAAAGAGTGGCTGACCTTTTTTATTGAAGCTTCTTCCAGTAACTCACTACGGTTCAGACTTACGCACGTTCTTATCAGGTTTATGAACTGTTTCCTGAAATAAGGCTAACCTGTGGCTTTCCACATATCATGTGCTACTATTCTTTCCAAATTATACGCAAAAGATATCTACAATGCCTAAACTTCACAACAGTATGTTAAGGTCAGATAACTTTCAACGTTTATTTTGTTACCTGTAGCAGCATCTTTAAAATCTAGTGAAGTCATTGGCATTGTTCAGCTCATTCACTATGCATTGTTCTAAGGAAGAAACACACTTTGCCCTCGTCCTTGAATCAAACCTCCGGAGGCCAAAAGTGTCCCAGCTTTACAGATGAGGTAGAGCGATGAAAGAAAGAGCGCGAGAAGGCACCTCGATTGGCTGTTTATCAGGCTAGTCACAAGAGATCATCCATCACAAACAGCATAAAAATAGTAACTCAAACGAATTGATATGCCCCGCGTGAAATCAAGGATATTTCAAAATTTGGAATCATGTGGGTCTAGCCTAACGTTTAATTTGTTTGTTCTTTTCATTGCAAGATGTCTGATTGTCTCGAGTTTATCTAATGACCCGTACGCAAAGTTTGAATTCTTCAACTCTGGAAATGGATGTGAGAGGTAGCTAAGAGTCGGCTTTTTGGAAAATGCTGTGTTGGAGATGCAGAAGGATGTGTGTAGCCTAGTTCTTTGCAGATCTCGTTTTATCCGAATCAAGGTAAGATTTTGAACCTTCGTTTATCATTGGAATATAATTTGCCATCCCCAGCTTCTGTTGCTGATACGGTTTCATCGGCTGGAACACGACTCTAATTTTCACGACTCTTCTTTAGCTTTGCCTAAAATTTAGATTGGATTTATTTCTCAACTTTTTTTGACGCAAAGCTGGAAGTTCCAGCTTTTTAGTGGCTGGTGCTTTCCACTTTTTCCTTTTATTCAATGCAAATGAAATCAAAAGTTTTGTTTGTTTTGCCAGTTTTGACCGTACCATGCGATCCACCTTCCCAAAGTTGAACCCGTTGGTGCGCAGCTAATTAGATTGGTCAAATGCGAAAACAATTCCAGAGGCAACCAATTCATTTTTTTGATTGGGCTGAGCGCAGTGCGTTTATGCAAGCATTATGTCCAAGTTGCTCTCGATGATGCGAGAACGTAGTCAATTGATACCTATCGAATGTGTTTCTGAGGGGGCTTATTTACCTTAATTTTATTTTGTTACTTTTTTTCTGAGTTAGAAAATTAATGTTAAACTGGTCAGATGTAGGGTGGTAGATGCCGCATACAGAACCGTACACGCAAGTCAGTTCTGCTGTATAGGCAAAGCTGTACACGCGAGATTAGCAGAGTCGCTACTCAAAACATTCTTGCTTTGTATACCAAAGAACTATTCATATATTTCTATATCAATCATTGATCAAAGCACTTCTCCTCAGTTACAAGCTTAAAGTATCTTAAAATATTTGACTTCTAGCCCACTTATTGCTCAAAATTTATGCTTGCCTGAAGAGCCATACCTTTCCTGATTGCACTTATCAAAGCTTCACGATCAACCGGGTGAAGATCTAGGGGCAGATTACACAATCAAATAGTTTGCGTTTGCGTTGTATGTATCCTATTTGCTTTCAGACGTTCATCTGAGATTTCTTTTAAGAGCCAGTGATTGCACGATCTTCCCATGTAACCTCCAAATCTTTAGAGGACGCTAGCCGAGGAAAAGCCCAGGTAAAGCCTCTCACATAATTATTGCCAGCAATAAAGATTATTGTTATCCCTTCTCCAAGGACCGAGATACTGGGGGGGGGGCCTTGCCCCCCCTATAAGCAGAATACTTTTATTTTGCAAAATATGACTTCAAACAAAACGTTGTATCTCGGTCTTTGCCCTTCTCCCGTCTTCAACACTTTCGACATGATCTTATGACAATGGGAACAGCCAATTTCTTTAGAAAATATAGAACAATCATTGCATTATATTGATTTTTGCATTTATAGCAAACTTTGTAAGAGAATACTTTGCAAGAAAATTTCAAACTATGACGAGTTCTTTCTCTCTGAAGTAAGTTTCCAGTGTTCCTATTCTGCTATTCCTTAACGGATCATGATGATACGTTTTAGAAAGTTACATGGAAGCTTGAAATATCATAAAACAATACCAAAAGCACATTGTAGCAAATGTTTAGATTCTGTTATTCGTTCATTCTTAAGAAGGTGCTTTGAAGTTCCAGTATGTGATGAGATGTACTATCAGGCGTTGTGTCACCAATCTCTGTATAGCTTCTTTTTAGCCAAAGTATACCTCGAGCTTGGAACGAGCCTAGCTAGTAGCCATCTTAGTTTTCCGCATACGGTGCTCGTCACGTCATGTTCCAAAACACGCTACAACAATACATGCGTCACTACACAACATCACCCCCCTTAAACAAAGTTTAGTTATTCGAACGAGAGAGTCTCACATAACGATTGGTTAAAAATATGAACTATGAAACTGAATTTGAAAATGTGTACAAAAGAATACGAGTCTTTTGTTTCAACATAACAATTGATTAGGTTTAAAAGAAATAAAACTGCGACTAACGTCTCCATGATGACTTACTGTGTAGTTTGAAATGTCACACTTGTTTCATGGAAATAGTTTGGTCGAGCAGTGATCTTTTTGGAATATCTTTTTTCTTGATTATTCGTTTCGTCTTTCTCCTCTTCTTTTACATTCCGAGAAATTCCATTATCAAGGAAGCCATTATCAATTTCATAACTTTCATCTTCTGATTTAATCAAACTGTCCTTTACTCCTACTCTTCTAAAGAAAGATACTTTCCTTGCAGTATTCTTTCCATTTTTACTTGTAGTAATCATTGGTCCCAGTGGCGGATCTAGACAAAAACTTGAGTGGGTTCCAATATGGGCGTGGTTCCATATTTTTCTGGCACGCCCTTGACTTTTGTCCCAAATTGGGCGGCGCCCATTTTCGCTTTTTGATAAGATTCACAATTGCAAGATTTGATTTTAACAAGATATATTATTTTATCATGATTTCAAGGCAAGTAAAAAAATAAATCTGTAAACCAAACCAGGAATTGTCATTATGAATTCTAAAAGAATGGTTTCGATTTCTTGCCAAACAGAGGACCTTAATAAATTCCTCTAGCTGGTTACAGCAGGACATAAGCTTGCTGAGTGTTGCATAATTTGAGTGAAGTTCCTGCTATAAATATTGCCAAATAATAAACAAGACAATTTAGATATATTCACAAAGTTTGTCAAAAATGGATAACGATGGATGAAGCCTCTTATCATATATAGCAAACAAACCCAATTATTAACAAGTGCAAATTATGACATCATCTTATCCCATTCTCTAAAGTCTTTCATTTTATCTTAATAAAGTTCTCTCATTCTATAGATAAATATATTCTGTATAGGGCTTCAAGAGTTCTATAAACTTTCCACGTCAAAGAGAAAATATCTTCGACATTCCTGAGTTCCTGCCAAGAATTCTCTGCTGCTAATTGCAACGAATTCTCTCGTGAACGCCACTTTACAACTATCTGAAATGGACTTTTCGCTTGATCCATGAGCAAGGCGTGTTTGTAAAGCTTTGTCGAAGATTCATAGCACTTTTCCATACGATTATCAAATTTCATTGATCTTCAGGTGCTGGTCCCTTCCTGGTTGTGAGCTTAAAACAAGCTCTCGTCATCGTGCAGTCAAAGCCTCTACTCACAGCTTCAAGTCGCCATTATGACAACAGGAAGCATGTATGGTCAGCGGTTTAAATAAGTTCCAATGAGTTCGGGAGATGGGTTCCAAGAGGGTTCTTTTGTTTGTAGTAAAAACAATTTAAGACAATTGATTGCCATGGTCACGACAGGGTTCCTTTCTTTAGAGGAGTATAATATGTTACAAAAGATAACCATGACTACGACAGGGTTTCTTTCTTTCACAATACCATGTTTAGAGAGCAGCAAAGGTTTTGGTACAAGAGGCCATTTGACGTTGGGACTGGTTACGATTAATTCGAAAGTAAAGGGAAAACTGGTGTTATGTGTTTTTGGAAAATTTGACAGGGTTCCAGAACCCTTGGAACCTGGTCTGAATCCGCCACTGATTGGTCCAATACTTTCTGCGATGGTGTTAATTTTGGATCCTATGGAGGCATAGCCTTATTTCTTTGTCTTTGTTTTACAATAACCTTATTTCCCTTGAAAGGAAGCCCATTGTCAGATTTCATTGTGACTGGTATTCTATGTGTGCTAAAAATATTTTCCAATATTGGTATAGCATTCCTCACTAGAAGAAAGTACCATTTCCGTATATCTGGAAAATTCATCCAAGCACACAAAGAGATACCTATGATCCTTCCTATCGGACCTTTGAAATCTATAGCTACTTCTTCCCATAGACTATCAGGCAGGCCTTGCATTTAAAATGGCTCTAGCTTGTTCCCTTTAATAGTGGCTTGGCATGCAAGTTAATGATACAGTGAATTTCCTTGAAATGTCTTTTTGTTTAATATGTACCGTAGTCAACTATGAAAGCACAGTTTTAGATTCTGCATTGCTGAATCTTTTCTTTGTTTCATCCTTAACTTCATCTTTTGTCATTGCTTTTAGAACTGTAGGCAGGGCATTCCTCTCAAATCGACCACACTGTCTAACCTTTGTTTTCTCAGCTGATTATGGAACTATACGGTAGAACGAATAATTTAAGCCCTTAAAACGTTTTAAAAAATTCATCATCGTTACCGTTGACGTAAAAAAGTTATGTTTGGTAGAATAAAAAAGACCTTTTCCCTCAAGATATATGCCAATAAAGATGTCTATTCTTTTTTCCTTAAACATTGTAGAATTAGATAGAATATCTCCAGCTATTCCTAGCCATTAAGATCCTGACTCACCAAACACAAGAGCAACTGTTTCCAGCGGTTTTGCCTATGATTTTGTTACAAGGATTAACTGAGAACTTGGTCAATAATTATCTTGCTTCTTTCAAATTCGCAGCTTCTATCGCTAGTCGTCCCTTGTGATCTGAGCGTCGCTCACATAGTGTGTCGGATTCCGTCGAGCAGCCTGTTATCGTGGCCTTTCCTTCATTCACACATTCACAATTCTTAGGGCACAGTTCAAGACTTTTTCGTTGTACGTAGCAGATTTGTACATGCAACTTCAACTAACACAATGGGAATTGATTTATCATCGTGGAGAACAGGTATTGGCTAGTTTACACATTCTAATCGAACTACATATTCTGCCGATGATTTACACAAATCTAAATCACATCTTCCTGTTACAACTGGTTAGAAGCACAATACTATTTTCCTTATCGTCTTAATTATGCCACTTACATATATACATATTTTAGTTATATCAATCTGAATATTTGATATCGAAATCAATCCCGGCCCGCTGTCTACCGATCCGACACCACCATTGCCTATTTCAATTGTACTAAAAAGTCCGTTTACTTTTGCTCTGACGAAGCCCGGTATGCCGGGGCGAGATATAAGCCATAATTGATTTCCGTGTTATTCATTCTCGTCGCGTTGCGGTGTTACTAATTTACTACATTTTATTAGAAATATTCTCATCGTTGTCTTCCAGTGTAAGAATCGAGTCACTGAATGATACTGCTGAATCGACCAAGGCTGCTTGGGACCTTGCTTAAATAACGAAAACCTTCATGGACCCTTTACAGCGGTGCGATATCTTCTTAACATTCACACTATGTTCATTTTTTGTACAAGCTTCTCGCACAATCAAATGAGCATTACTTCCACCATATCCAAAAGAATTTATGGCAGCAACTTTGGCTTTACTGCTCGAATCTGGCCAATCACAAGTCTTAGTTGTGACCACAAGATTTTTTCTTTAATATCTAGTCTCACTGTTTGGTTTTCGATCCCAACAGTAGGCAAAGTATCTCTGATGTTACGATTTCAGAGACACCAAGCATGTTCATTGAAAGCTTTCGTATGAGAAATTCGTTTTTAACCCACAGATCGACCTCCTGCCACGGGTAGTTAGGAAATCGAATAAACTTTCCTTGCCTTTGGTCTTGAAGCAGATTGAAAGATATATCATATTCAAGTGTGTACATCTGGCCAATTGTTTGTGCATACAAATGTTGTAATCTTTTCTCCTCTCCCTTTTTTGGCAGTGTCTATTGATTTTAAAAGTGTCTATATAGTTAGGCAACTGTGCCTAGACATATTTTAAGTACATATTTAAAAGTACAAAGACGTCATATTATACTAGTAAAAGTATTTCCAGCCAAAACACAGAGAGGAGAAATTTCTATGGTCATCCTTTTCTTCACTATAAATTATATAGCTCTATTTCAGCTAATCATTCACAGCCGCTATGCAGATTTGCTGCTTTAGGAAACATTTTTCAAGAATTGTCTCAAGCTCTTTTGTGGTCAACCCTGAAAGGAACACCGAAACGTTAAAAGAAAAAGGCATAACGGACAGGGCTGGTTTCAAAATCCTCAACTACAAGAAACACATTTAAACTAAAGGCGAGAATGATAAGCGTACTAGGTGTAGCTTTTCATAAGCGATAATCGACGTTGATTCCTGTGCTGCGAAATCGGAGCACCGCCTGAACCTCGAACATCTGTAATCTGTAAGATAACTACGATAAAACACCGTAACATTGTATGAGTTACTTCCTTGCTGCTATAGTTAATACGATGTTTTTAGCTCAATGACCTTTGCTATTTAAAAATACGTATGAGTAGTCGAGTGACCTACCTATAGCTGCCATTGCTCCAAGTGATTTACACTCGTCTTGCAACGATGCTCTAGCCATAATGACGTCAACTGCCTTCTTCACTTTTATTATGCCAGCTACACAGGCAGCTGTAATGTCCCCTAAGCTATGACCCCCTATAGCTTTTGGGATGATCGAGGCACTCGTTTTCAAGAACTTGGCTACTGCATATTGCAGAGCAAAGATTGACAGTTGCACCGTGACAAGACAGTCCTCTTTACATTTGTCATCTTCTCCTTTCAGATATGCCAACAAAGATCCTTTATGTCCTCTTTTTCTTGATCGTTTGTCAATCCTTTTTATCTCCTTAAACATTGTAGGGTTGGCAAGAATGTCACCTTCCATCGCAAGCCATTGAGATCCTTGCCCACCAAACACGAAAGCAACAGAAGTGCAGTGTTTTGAGGTCTTTCCAGCGGTTATGCCTGTGATTTGTCTTTAGGATTGACGGAGAACCTGGTCAACAATTCTCTTGCTTCTTTCAAATTCGCAGCTGCTATCGCTAGTCGAGCGTTGTAATTGGAGCGTCGCTCACATAGTGTGTAACAGACATTAGAAATATTCTCATCGTTGTCTTCCAGTGTAAGAAGCCAGTCACTAAATGATACTGCTGAATCGACCAAGGCTGCTTGGGACCTTGCTGAAATAACGAAAACCTTCATGGACCCTTTACAGTGGTGCGATATCTTCTTAACATTCACGCTATGTTCATTTTTTGTATCAGCTTCTCGCACAATCAAATGAGCATTACTTCCACCATATCCGAAAGAATTTATGGCTGCAACTTTGGGTTTACTGCTCGAATCTGGCCAATCACAAGTCTTAGTTGTAACCACAAGATTTTTTTCTTCAATATCTAGTCTCACTGCTTGGTTTTCGATTCCAACAGTAGGCAAAATCTTTTCAGTTTTCATCATGATGCAAACTTTGGCAAATCGTGCCAGACCAGCTGCTGTTTCTATGTTATTTATATTTGACTTTACATTTTCTAAAATCGAGAAAAGCTCTAATGAGGTGTCATGCTCTTTGAACGTCTTAGTAACATTAGGAAACCAAAATGCGTTGGGCAGTTTTAGCTATAAGAAGCAGTTGGTTTCTAAATAGCTTGTTTGCAAGCCAAAAACCATTTTGTCCAACAATTATTAGCCCATGAAGCATTTAAGGACGACATAAATGTGTTCAGGCTTATTTCGTGAAGTAGGTGAAAGCAAAGCTAATAGGAACAGAAGCAGCAAGCCTGATGTATAAGTTTTTTAAATGAGCGCTGAATATATGCTAAATCTATCCACAAGATGTTCTGAACACAACAATCGTGTATTATTATTGCGAGGATTGTAAGACGTGGGCTACTATGATGAGCTTGAACTGCGTTTATCTCATTTTCATAAACATAACAAATATTTACATTATTGTCACTATGGCTCAAAACTCTGTTGTAAACTCGATAACTCGCGGCCTTGACTCGAGTCGTGAACTCAACTAACTGAAACTGCCTCACCTATCCCTAATGATATAGAATCGCCGAAGGCGCTAGATGTCTAACCCACAGGTACGCTGTTAGGCAAATTTGTTTACTTCCGCCATTTTTAATAGTGGCAAAAAGGAGCTTGCTACTTCCTGAGCCCTTATAAATTTGGTAAAAGTAAGGATTGATTTCGGTCACTTCTCTTTCGGATATCGATGTAAAATTTGGTGAGTGGCCTAAAATTCGACTTAAATTTATGAATATATGTTAATATTGGAAAAATAAGCCGTCATTTGCAAATTCCAAGCATTTACAGTCGCGGTGCTTGCTGCGGTGTTTTAGGTCTCGTCGAAATTCCAGAAAATAATTATTGATCTGTTTTAAAACGGATCCAGCGACTATGTAATCGTAGCTCACCGTTATCCAAAAATACCCAATCTTTGAAATGTCTAAAATTTAATAGAAACTGTCCTATAGAAATTTGAATTTTAAGAAAGGAAGTGTTAATATCTTGTATAATCATCTACCAAAAATATTCGATTCATTGGCAAAATCCTTGGGGTTTGTTCAACCATGTCACCAAATTTGTCCCGAATCTCAAGATATTTTATATTGTACATCCTGCGGATTAACAAGAGATGTTACAAAACTTCCTTCATTTGCTGCTAGGTGAAGTAATGGGTGCGGCGGTCCGTTGACCATTACTCGCCTACCACACCCATTCGCTCTTTCGTCAAACACCTTCCATTTGCTATCTAGTGCCAACTTATTTGTCCAAATCTCTTTTCTGGGACGTAAAACTAAACTAAAGCTCAAGAAGCTTTGTAACTAATGCTGCATGCTCAATTCTATCGAAGGCTTTTGTATAATCTATAAAACACAGATTTCCTATCAATCATTCTTTAACCGAGTATTTGGAGCTGGCAATCATATACAGTCTTGAGCTCGTTTCCTTTTTATTAAAATAAGTTTAATTTTTATGGAGATTACTCTTTGCCAAAGCTGTGATTCGTCTCTTCATTATCTGTAATAGAACTTTGGAGGCGTAGGATGTGAGGCTGATTGTGCGGTGCTCATTCCATAGTGATGACTTTAGGTATGGTGACAAGGTAAGATTTCAGGAAGCCTTCAGGCCATGTTCCTGAATTGTAGCAATCATTTATGATGTTGCTAATGATATCTTATCCCTTTTCACCATATATGCTGTAATAGTTCTACTGGAATTTGGTCAACTCCGGTTGCTTTACTCTTTGGTAGGTGTTTAATTGGTTTCATAATTTTTCTTCTCTATTTTGACTTTTCGATAGCTAATAGTTTTTTCTATGTATTCTTGTCTGGCGTCATTATATTATTCTTCAACATATTCTTCCTATATTTGCTTGACGTCTTTCCAATTTTTGTCAATACCTTTTCATTTTTATCTTTGATGCTATTTTGTGTTTTTGATTTAGTTCTTAATTTGTTGGTATATTTTGGGATTATGTGCTTTGTCTGCGACGATCTCAAAGACTTTCTGTAATAATTGTTTGTCTGATGGCTTGGTTCAAAGTTGCTGCATATTTGTCACTTACTTCTTTGTTCTTTAGCTTCTTCACATTCCAGATATTCATATCATTTTTCTTTTTTTGGTAAATAGCGCAGTTGAATGTAGAAAAAACTTTTAAAATAGCGCAGTTTTATAAATTTCTCCCTCTTTTCACCTTTAGCAGCCCTAATCAGCATGCATTCATTGCAAATGGTTTCCATATCCTTTCTCTGACTGCCCTAAGCAATAGAAAAATAATGGTGGTCATGATCAGCCCCGGACAACATTTAAGTCCAATCGCAAAAGGTTTCGTACAAGGCAATACCTGCTCATTCTATTTGTCTGTTTAAATTTGCACAAGTAGCTAGCTATTTTTAGACGGTTTTAATAAAACTAATCAAAAGACGGATTTTATAAGCTTCTGGTTTGTAGCGCTACAATTTGTCGATGGGTCAACTGATTTGGTTCGAAGAAGACGATTCTTTACATGATAGAATATCTGTTTTTTGCTTACGTTTGATGGAGGGGGATGTTTTGTTTCTTTGGCTCTAATTTCAATGATATCTAACGATCTTTAACACGAAAAAGGCTTCCAAACCACCAAATTTCCTTCACCGTTATCTAGCACTTTTCGAACATTTGAACCTGGTTGTGCCACTGAAAATATTCGCAGTTATTTATAAAAAGGTATTATACCATCAAGTCAAATAGAAACAAGAGTGTGAAGGTAACCGCACATATTTTCTTCAGTGTAGGCCAAGTTCATATTTGTTTAATGCAAATAAGGCTACTTATATTTTTTTGGGCTCTTCTTCATTTCAGTAAAATCATGTAAAACCAAACTTAGAACTGTTTTATTTCAAAATTATTATTAAAGTTTGCGTGAGAGCTGTTTTCAGAGCTCTTTATTAAACATCCTCAATGGCAGCGTGTCTCCAAGGTAGGCTAGAATGAAAACTTTGAGACATATGAAGAAGGATGCTTTGAAAAAGCCGTCCACTTGTTTTTCTGGCTTTTTTTATAAGAGGTTCTTTTCCAACCTATATTATTATATTATTTATTCGAAATGTTTCCAGTTTTTGTTGGGTAAAACATCGTATTACCAATGATAAAGAAAGCAAAATACGCCTAGCAGTGTAATTATAGCCTACAAAAGGGGTGTAAACAGTGCAGTTGCTAAATATTGTGCTTAAGGGGAATGTTCAGGCTCAGGCACCATTTGCAAACCAAGTTTGAAAAATTCAGCGTCAACTTGATCAATTTGAATTGAATGACAAATTTGGAGGCTCTTGTTTCTATAAAATGCCCTATCAAAAACTGTCGCCCAGCTCCGTGGTTTATTAGGGATCTGAGAGGCAGCAAATAAACAGGGCCGCAAAGACAGAGGGGGCAACAAGGAAAATTTTCCCAAGTCCTCAAGGTTCTATGGGGCCTTTTAAAGTAATAAATTTGATTTTTAAGAATGGAATTATTCAAGCATAAAACATTAACATGTAATATAGCTTCCGGAATGCTAGTGTAGAGCTCTGTTTCTTGCAAAGAAATCACTGAAAGTTAAAGTCATACATCAAACATTTGACAAAAATTGTTTCAAATTTGTTTAAAATTATGAAATGTTAACAGAATAGAAAAGTTACATATCAGCTGTATTTCTCATGCAGATAACAACCAAATTGGTTCTACTAGTCAGGCTCAAGACTTAGAAAAAGTTATCATCTTAAGGGCACCCAAGAAACTTAAAAACAAAGCAGTTACTGCAAAATTACTTGTTATATGGATGCCAAACATTTTGATTCCTGAATCACTATAAAGAATAGATAGCTCTGGCAAGTTTACAATTTTGCAATGTCTAGCAATTCTGTAATAAAAAACATTGTATCTTGTTGTAATCTGACTTGCTGAAAGGAAAGGGAAAGAAAATTTGAAGGCAATATACATGGAACCGCCAATTTGAGACAGCAGCAGTTTGTTGAAATACATTGTATTTTGATCTGCCTTCTCAAATATCTTAATCCATCCAAAGATCATTGCTGATACCAAAAAGAAAAAGAATAATGTATGTACATTAAACCACCATTTGAGTGACTGTAGTAGCTTCTTTCCATAACTTTGGAGTGCTGTAAGAGCTACCTGAAAATCAGCCCTGTCTTTTGCTTCTTTCAAAACAAAATCTTCAGTTTCTTCTATATGTCGTATAAGGTCGCGAGTTATTATGTGGTAAATACACACTGCGCAGGCTGTTGCATAAAATCCAAAGAAACCTGTGGAGACTGAGAGATGGTAATGCAACTTCTCGACTGAGGACAGGGTTCCCAAAAATCCATGATTATTCACAAAGTCAAAGAATGCATTGTAACGAAAATCAACGAAAATCACCCAAGAGCTGCAGAAGAATCCCAGGAAGAGGAAAACATTTGTGTGAAACCAATCATTTTCTGTTGGTCCTATGTTTAAATCTCTGTTTGACTTGCCAGGAAGCCTAAATTCAAATCGCGGGAAAATGGAAAACTTGGGATCTTCCTGATTGCCACAAGTAAAGTTGTTTTTGCTCGAGTAAAAGTAGACTGTAGCAAGGCTGTAGGTGCATGCTGCTGATGCAAGCAAGCCAATCATGATAGTCTTTGTTTCCAGTGGCATTACAACACCATACCTGGAATCACTCCAGTAGACACAGACAAAGTAAACATAGCTAGCAAAACAGAACCAATGCATTGTGGTTAATGCAATACTGATGAACGAATATTTACATTTATATGAATGCCTCCTGAAACCACAAGGAAAAATTCCATAACAGAGTGATGTAAAAAATGTCAATGTAGCATCAGTATAAAGGAGTGTGTGAAGAAGTCGAAAAAATCTGCTTTGTCGTCTGGTATGCGGTATAATTCGTGATTTAACCGGTAAATTTTTCAGTTGTTGCTGGCTGTCCCATTGCTTTTCAAACTCATTGTCAAACTTTATTTCAACAGAATTTTGAAATTTGGTTGATACTTCGAGTTCACTCATAGTAAAGATGTATCGAATTCCGCCAATGATCTACGTACGCCAAGACCCACCGAGGTGTATTGCTTTCACCGGGATAACTGTTGTAGCTGTTGTTGTTGTGCAGGAAATGAAAGTTGGTACTTTCGCTTTACTTCCGCCTTGGAAGAGGGTTGCCTGCAAACTTTCTTAATAATAATATCATAATGAGGTATTTGGGTCACCAAACCTCCAACGAATACAAATTCTCGAATCAAGATACAATGCAACTTCTTAATAATTCTCCTAGGAGACCATTACCGTTCGTGTCAGATACAGGTAATTGTCAAAATGCGGTTGGAATGCAGAAGAGGAGGTCCGCTTGCAAAGTACTTGCAAGGATTTTCTGTTCAGGATTGATTTTGAAGTTCTTTACCTGTGCATGCTTTGGAATACTACCTTGTTATTTCAAGAGGCATACGAAGAAACAGAACTATGCGTATATAACAGTGTTTCTGTCTTTAATGCACTGGAGCTGCTTCCTTAGCTATGTATATTTTGTTAGCATCTACTGGTCAAAAAGCGAGTACAACTGTGAGATGCCAAGCACTGTTAAAGTGATACAAATTGGGCTTGTTGCATCTGGTGCATTTAACTTGGTAATATTTGCATGGTTTCTTTACTCTGGCAAGAACAATTTTTCTGATGATAACTGCCAAAATTTTAACCTGATTCCTCAGATACAATACAACTTGACAATGAATGAAGGCAGCGATCATCCAGGACTCAGCAAATCAGACTGGCTTATCACAAATGTATTTCTGCTGGTTGGATTTTGTTGCTCTTCTTTTGTCATTTTTGTCGACTTTTCCTATAACATTTTTTACAGCTTTTCTGGTATCCACGATTTCTTGAGCTTGCTCTCACCATGGCAAAAGCTTCACTACCACATTTCAGTTTCAACTGAGTTTTTTGGGTTTTTCTCAACAGCATGCGCCATTTGTGTGTTTCATTTGATAACTGTTGACCTTATACGACATATTGATCATACTGAGAATTACATTTTGCATATAGCAAAAGACAGAGATGATTTCCAAAGGGCCCACAATCAACTCTTACAGTATGGAAGGAATTTGCTTCAGTCAATAAAATGGTGGTTTAACATTCACACAATGTTTTTCTTTTTCTTGGTTACTGCTATGACATTTGAATGGCTACAATTTTTGGAGAGAAAGGGAAATGAAAGAGCTGAATACCAGTTGATGCTGTCACAAATCAGTGGCTCTTTGTTCATAGCATACAAGTTTGCATTCCCCTTTTTATCAGCTGGAAGAGTTACAGCGAGGTATAGTGCCTTCTATTATGCAATTGCAAGGTGGTCAAGAATACCTTACTTGCCGAAAATTGCACTAATGAGTGAACGTTCTGGGATTAAGGTTATCGGTATTCAAATAACTACAAACATTGCTATTATAGCATTTCTTTGTAGCTTTCTAGGGGCATTGAAATTAGTTACGGGCTGGAAGGAATAAAGTTGAATATTGATGAAAGATTCTTACCATGAGAACAGTCATGAAAAGAGGGCCAGTCAATCTACTAGAAAATTCTACTGCTTGATTTTGATTTTTCAATTTTATTAGCTATAAGTATCAATATAAAAGTAATATGAATATATGAATACAATATGAATATATGAATAAGTATATATGAGCCTTTGGTACCACAAAATTCAAAAATAGCACAGAAATGCAGAACGAAAACAATTTGATTTAAAATAACTTTTTGCTGGACATCTAATTGAGACATGATTTTTAAAATATATATAATGCTTTAGAGTAATTGCAGCAATTAATTAATAGCTGCACCGACCTCTTAGCAAATTGGGTGTGGTTTTTTGTTGTAATGTGATTTATAAAACTCCTATAAAATGAAAATAATCAAAAATATATTGCTGACATTTGGCATTTGGTATTTTCTCATAGGTGTCTTCTTGTGACAATAAATCAAGAAATTATTAAACCATGTGTTGCATGGGTCATTTACTGTGATTTTTGTGCCACCAAAGCAGGTTCTAAATTTACACTGCTAGATACTGGTCAGTTACCTTTCAACATTCAACAAAGATTCTGGCTACGCTTGTAAACAATTAATTCATTTTATTCATTTCTTTTAATTTCTAAGAAATTATCACGACATGAAGAATGTTCTTTATAAAATCATTAAATACCATGTTTATTCAAGCTATTTTTTTCCTTTTTGTACTTTTCACTATGTTCATACATTCAACTAAAAATCATCACATTTTAAACAAAGTGACATTTTTTTTACTTTCTTTAGAACAAGGAAGAATTTAGTACATTAAAGCAATAAAGTACATTATATACTGATAGCAAAAAATCAAAATGATACATGGTTTTGAGCAAGTAAAGTAAATTTAGTTTCTGGTGACTATGTAAATTTCATGTCATAATGCATTTCGTATCTGATAGTCTTCGTATTTTGAAGCCAAAAATTCGTATGTCAGTGGGCCTGAAAGTAATGAGGGCAATCAGGGGATCTTTTAAGGAATTTCTACTGGTGGGTGATGCTGAAAACAAGTATGTTGCAAAAATTCAAATCAAGCACAAGCAAGAAAGCACAAACGAATAGTAAACAAAGATTCATTAAAATCAATTTTGGAAGCAATTTTGGACAAAAGTGCACTTACGCCACACTTAGAAGGGTCTACTAGGGGAATTTTCTCACTAGTTTGTAAGGTAAAGATCCTCTGATGTGAGCCCTGGTGGTAGTAGAAGGTGCTGTTTTTTGCATTTGAATGTAAATATGTACTTAAGCATTTACTGTTGTTTTCCCTACTGCGAGTTGTTTTCAATACCGTGTATCACAAACAAAATTACTGTCAGTTCAAGCCAAATTAACTTAATGAGAAGGGAAAAAGCTGCAAGGTCACAGCTGCACTCGAACTTAAAGAATTTCTATATGCACGAGCATTGCAGCATGGAAAAAAAGCCCACAAAACAAAAAGGTGGCTTGTTTGTAGAAGGGTGTTGCGTAAAATTCCTAGCAATGTAAATGGATTACAGAAACTAAGTTCAGCAATAGAAATATGAAATTCACATTGTCAGCAATTAGATCAAATGATCAACCGTTTACTCGAGAAGAAGTAACAGTAGATTTAATCAATAGTCTTTCTAATAGATATCAAAAGTGCAGTGCTCTAAAGTTTTCAAGCAGATATTCGCTGTTTTGACCCTGCAACACAGCGTGATACTCTAGCTGCTTGTTTGTGCAATAAAACCTTTTCTGCTGAAATTAAAACGGCAATTTAAGACCAAAAACAGCTTCCATCAAGCAAATAAGCCGTCTGTAATGTTGGGGATTCAAACACATGAGCTTGAATTTGCAGCGATCCTTTTTAATGAAACTTATGCCAGCAAACATATCATACTGGTCAATGTTGCTGACTCTTTTTTCCTTTGCAAGCAACGAATGTGTCTCCAATTTTGTAATGTTGACAACATCTACAATGTCAATCAAAATATATGTTCGTTACAACTGTTTCCATAAATTTTCAAGATCTACTTAGCTCTCTGCCAACCCCACCAATGCACAAAATAAATGACAACACAAGAATCATCCGTAGTAGTTGACTTCATGTCACTCTATTGAAGTGGCAAGTTCTGCGTGCAACTTTCTACAATATTCTTTGAGGAACTTCCTATAACGTCTTGTTATATAACATCTTACTATATTTCTATTGTGTGATTTTCTTTTCTTGGCTTCCAAAAACTATGGTTCTACACAATTTTTTTGTATATGTTTGATAAACTGCAGAAAATTATTTTAGTCTAAGTATGTCATATGACATGTGGTCAGTTTTAGATGAAATCAAACACTTCTATCATCACTTACATTTTCACAAACTTATTTTGGCAATGACTAGTAATAAATAAACAGAAATCTGAAGAAACGAACCAATCATTTGAAGCTTTTCTCGGAACATTTTGCCGCTGCTAATGAACTTCAATTTTTTGCTGGATTTGCTAAGCTTCAGCTTTCCCGGCACAGCAGTTTCTCTTCCAACTAGAAACACAGAAAATTATTCGTTGAGCAATTGGGAGAGAAAACTTTCTTTAACTTAAAATATCGTTTAAGAAGAAACAAGATGTACCCTTGATAGGTGCCGTGTTGGAACTTGTCTTCACATTCACCAAGCGTTTGCACCACATAGTTAATAGGCTTACCAAAGTATCGATAGGTTGTCGCATAGCCTCTCCTAGGCATACCAAAGTGCTGTTACGTCAAACAGCTATATCAATATGTCGTTCTCTTCTAGTTCCTTTCACAACTGATCTTTAATCCGGTCATAGGTTTTATCGAACGCTTATGAGGTGAATCATATCAATCGGGAAGGGATAAATCTTTCTGGAAAAAGGAATCTTGGAGAAATTTGGGATTCAGGAAAAACTTGGTATCAATTTAATAGAAGTGGGTTGATATGATATTTCCAAAAAACGGTTCTAGGGTTGGGCCAGGACTGGTTGTGTATTCTACAAGTACAATTTGAATATAAATTAAAAGTATGCGGTTTGGATACAACGAAATTCCAGAGAGTCTATTAGAGTCTTGTCTTCATCGCATTACCGAAAAAACCAGGAGCAGCATGCGAGTTACATCAAACCATCAGTCTAATGTGTAATGTGGTAAAAGTAACAAAATGTGTTTTGATGAAAAGATCAAGGCATTGTATATAACCTGAAACAAGCGCAAAGAAGTATTGCTTTATAGAAGATGCTGGCACAAGAAATGCAATTTTCATTCTACAAAATGCTGTGTGAAATTGCAATTTAAATGCAGAGGAAGCTCTATACTCTCTATATCTGCTTTATTGACTACAAAAAGCATTATATAAAGTTAGAAATAAAATACTTGCTGGACATGTTGCAACACCTAGATATAGATTGAAAAGACACGTGGTTGATTCGAAACCTCTACTGAGAACAGTCTGCTTTAGTCACAGTAGATGGCGAGATTGGCAAGTTTTTTTTATATACAGAGAGGAGTAGAACAAGGATATTTTAGCGATGTTTGTTCAACCTCATTGCAAAAATATCCCACGGAAAATTGGAACCATCGTAGGGATGATAGTTGAAGGCTGCATGCAGTTTGAATCATATTATATGCGCAGACGACACAGCATTAATTTCAGAGTCAGCGGAGAAGCTCAAAGAATTACTAGAGACCGTTAGAACAGAGAGCAAGAAGAAAGGACTTTCAACGAATTTAAAGAAGACAGAATGCCTGGTGATTAGAAAATAAAAAGCGACACCAAAGTGTTTAGTTAAGGATCGAGATGATAAAATAAAGCAAACTGAAAAGCTATTTACGAAGTGTGATAACACCATTATGGCAAATATGACAACGAAATGAAGAGGAGAATCGCTACGGCAAAGGATTCCTTTAAGAAACTAGGAAAAATTTTATATGCAGGAAAATGAATATGCAGATCAAACATAAGCTGTTAAAGTGCTAGGTGCATGTGCATTCCATTCTTCTGTATGGTAGCCGAAGCTGGAACACCTCACCAGCAATGGAACGTAGACTGGAGGCTGCAGAGGTGTGGTTTTATAGAGGAATTACTTTTGGACAGAGCAGGAACCTTTGGAAGTTTAATTAGAACCATTCTGTACAATCAATTGGAATTTTCGGGCATATAGTACGCAAGAATGGACTGGAGAACGTAGTGCTCATGGGAAAAGTAGAAGAAAAAACGCAGCAAAGGAAGGCAGGGGCTGAATTTCAACTGCAGCCTGAGCAAGCACATTGATTTTGGTAAAATTGAGTTATTGCTGGCTATTAAAATTTTCTGTTGAAAACCGTGGTCGCCATCTTCCTTATCGGATAGGACACCAGCAACGATCGAGAGAATGAACGTAATAAACAAAAGAACGAACAAGAATACCCACATTTCTTTTTGATGAGAATAGTTTCCATGCCATATTTCTTGAAGTCTTCCAAAGATGACTTTTGACGACTGTTTAGTAATATTCGACCACTACTTGGAAACAAACGTCTGAATTTGAGCATAGCTGCAACCGAGAACAATTTCCCTATCTCTGGTCCTCTGCTTGCATCCATCATAGAATAATGATCTCCTGGGCATGTTATACAAACGGGCATTTTATGAAGAACAGAGGCCCAGCATTCTACAGACTTGCCAACTCCTACAATACTTTTACAGTATGTATCATCCTCTGCCTCTAAATACAGTATATCGCCATCATACAGGTCCTGGAATTAATGAGCATATGATAATACGTCGTGAATAGTATGCGAATGTTAAGGTTACATGGGAAACTAAGATATAGCCTAGAAGTAAATTTGGGGCTTTGAAGAGTTATATTACAAAACAATGTCTTAAAGTTGTGTTTAGGTGAAACTTTTATTTCTGTAAGAAGGTGGATGAAAGCCTATTGTCTAAATCAAGGTGAGTAAACTTGGGCTGCAGGGCAATTGCCCCTTATTCTTCCAAAGGCCCTTTTGTTCAATGACATCTAAAAACTTACCCCCGGTACCCACTCTTTGTGACATCTAGAAGACATCTGCTGGTCGAATGTCGTCGATTCTAAAATTCTATCAACATCTGGGATATCGATTGCCAGTTCCTTTGCTCTTGTATTGAAAAAATCCTTTACTTCGCTGAAGGATTTGTCCACTCTGAAACTTTCATACTCTTCTAAAGTCATTTGAAGCTTCCTTGTAGCAATTTTGCAGAAAAAATTCTTCATTTGTTCCTAAAATGTAAAACTTCAAATATTGAGCAAGTTGCTATCATAAATTTGAGACCAAACCGCAAACTCATCAAAGATCAATTGAAGTTAGCTCAGCAGTTATTCAGGCTAAAGGCAACCTACGCTGGAGGGCAAAGGTTAGAAGGCGAACCATGTATCAGGTAAAGGAGAACTTTTCCCAAAATGGTTACTAGGGTGCTACTAAAATAGATTAGGGCGTATTCCATCCGGTGTCCGTGCCCCTACAATTAATATAAGATGAATTCGAGCATTGTTTCTCCCTGTATAGTGTGATTCTTTTTATGAGAGTAATGTGATTATGAAAAACTATTTATGAAGAACTTACCTGTATGTGTTCTTCGGTTACAAACTCTGTGTCAATCATATCCACTAGCAACTGGGAGTTATTTCTTCCTGATGGCAACCACCTGACTGTGTCAATCATTATGACCAAAGCTACATCTTTGCCCAAACCTTTCAAGATTGATGCCATTTCTAGGGAGACAAGACCCCCAAAGGAATAACCACCTAAGAAATATGGGCCGTATGGTTGTACTTCCAGCATTAGCTTAATGCACGCTTTCGCGAGCCTTTTCACTGAACCAATGTCTTCTCCAATAATAGAAGGCTCAGTCCACCCAAAAGCATAAAGGGAGAATATTTTCTGCAAAAAAAAAGACCATAGCTTGAAGTGGTTTTACTGGCAAGAATGGTAGCCAAAGTTATATGTCACGCACATTGAACCATATGTTGTTCATCAAAGAGTAATCATTCAAACTCAGCTGGGGGTTGTGTGTTTTTGCTGCAGCAGACTAACAATAGGCTTCAGGGGGTAGGCTGTCCATAATCATATCAAAGCTTGAGTCGCTTTTCAAGTCAAATTTAATTGAAGAGCCCATAATTAGTAGCCTGCGTGCAGACTATGTTGATTCCGAGTGTACACGCAGGTTAATAATTAGGGGTGGGTTAGGATGACTGCACTTTAGCGACCCATTTTGTGTTACCTGGTCAGCGAGAGAGCAATGATGGTTTACCTGATATCTCATTCCCATGCCAAGAACTTGAAACACTCCAGAATATCTGTGAGATGGGTGAACTATGAACATATTTGCTGGTGAGTTTTCGGATTTGTAGATAACAGATAAATAATCCTTGGGTAGGATGAGCCTGTCTTCATCTTCATCTGAAAGAAAATGTTCCATGAAAATAAGTTTCTACAAATATGATTTTAGATATAAACTTCTCAGCGCAGACCAAACATTAAAACTTTATAGTATGGAGTGAAAGGTGGAATTCTGTCACAAAACCTCTCTGAAGGCGAAACAAGGCAAAAAATACCAACCCTGCTTGGTATATCTGTGGGCAATTATTTTTATTTTCATACTTTGCTAGAATGAAACTTTAAAACTCCTTCTTTGTCTTTCTTTGCTGGGATGTTAAGCTCGAGCCAGTGCCCACTTAAGTGGGAGTTCATCTGCTTTTCATGTTCTTGCTTTTTAGATGAAATTGTTTCTGAACAGCCTGGATTATAATTTTAAATATCAAAAATGTGTGGTCACCACCATTTTAGGTGAATAAAAAAGGTTTTAGTGTATTACCTCAAGGCAACGGTACTATTTAAAAGAAAAATGAGACGACTGACCCGCTTTCTTGTGCAGATGGTCCTTTTCCCCATCCATTTCTTCTTCCACCTCTTCTTCGTCATCATCAGAGTTTGAACTGCATTTGATAAATTTTTCATAGATCGCGTTGAGAAGATCTTCTGCAAGCTTGTTTATTGTCGTCTCTGCTTGCATGAAGTAGAAAACCTAAAAAGAAGTTTTTGTAGAAACATTGCTTTTGGCTTGGCAATTGAAAGCAAACTGATAACCAAAGAGTGTTGCAACAGATTATTACACTATCAGCCTATCTTATTAGCAATTTTCAAAATAATTCATTAAACCAAAACAATAGAAAACAAAGTCTGAATTATAGGTTTACAAACTCCAAATTTCTTGAGCAACATTCTTGTTAAGTATTACCAAGCCAACAAACTTAGGACAAAGACCCTGCAACCATAACAATCCAACAGGATTTAAAAACACATACTTGAAAATCGATTTTCAGATCTTTCTCAATTTGCCCTTTAATAGCTGTAGCACCAACTGAGTCAATACCATACGTGAACATTGGGACATTGCAGTCGATCTCTTCTGGAGAGCCACTAATCCACGCGGCCACCCAGCCTTTAATATAGCCCAGAAGTATGGCCAGTTGTTTTTCTTTTGACTTTTCAGCAAGAATCATTTCAAGAATGTTACCACTGTTTTCCGTCTGTTCCGGCAGCTCTTTTCGAATTTCGTCATAAATTATACTATTTGCCTTTTTGCTTGGAAGACTTCTTAAAAACGTACTCCAGTCTATGTCACATATGCACATGTTAGATTTTTGAGGCATTTGCGAGAGTACTTTGTCCATCCAGGTGAGGCCTAATAGAAAATTATCTATCTTAGAAAGCTCGTAGTAGGGGAAACAGCTTTCGTTTTTCATGTGAGGTAAGATTTTTGGCTAAAACGGGTCCATGAAGATTAAGTAAGGTGAAAAGTTGACAGGAAAACACCTGCAAGAACACCAAAGAACGAATGGAGAATATCAATTGAAAGATATCTAGAGGGGTCGTTAAAACTGAAAGAAAAGAGAATGCAAAAAAGTATTTGACATTGAAATCCAAGTTCGATATTTCCAGCATAACTCTTCATCAGGATCTATTCATCTACGCACAACACGCTGAACTACATTGATAATCAACATAAATTCAATGTTTCCTTCCAAGTTATTTGTGGATATGATATGGTAAACTGAATCTATTTTAACTAATGTGGGACCTCACAGAATCACATAATCAAATATGGAATGAAACGTTGTAGTGCAATTTTGCTTTAATGGATTTCCTGCCAAAATTCATTAAATGGTTTAGGTTTGTCTTTTAACTTATCCCACTTTACTGATACAATTCAAAGACGAACCTGTTGGAATGTCAAGCAAGTGTAAGCCAGATTTCTCTAATAGCATTGCCACTTTGACATTGCGCTCCAATATTCCTCCTCCACCCATAGCTCCCCAGCAAACAGCTAAGCATGGCTTGCCAAGAATCTTAGCACGGTAGTCTGCAAAGCTGTTCATGAAAGCATTAGCCGCAGAGTAAGAGCTTTGTCCAGCGTTTCCCAAAACAGCAGTTATTGATGAATATAGAACGAAAAAGTCCAGCTGCTCGTGTCGACTTTCCAGTATATTGTGCAAGTTCAGAGTACCTGAAATATTGATTTGAGTTACATTAATAACCCTCTATATCTTTGCATCGGTATATCATTTTTGAAGCTATGAAAATTATTACTTGAATAGGCTGGGGGGGGGGGTATTACATGAACCTGGCGCCATGAAGCAATCTCGTAATTGAAAAACTCTATCAAAGTTTTTAACACTTCCAATAGGAACATTGAAAATGTAATTGAATTGATCTTTCATCAATGACCTATGAATTTATCGTTTACACTGCACGATACCAGCATCATTTGCCTGAAACGTTTGTCCTTACAAATGAAAGTAAGGTCGACATGAAATGAATAATCTGTAATTCAGCAGGTCGGAACTACCCTGTGGACCTGGAGGATGAAACCTGGATAGGCGATGCTTATTGCTTTAAGCCCTGGCAAAACGACTAAACATTTTACTAAACATATCACTCAACTTTTGTTTTGTGAAGTTGAGCGAAGTTTGGCGAGGATGACAAAACGTGACTAAACTTTTCACTTAACTTCACTCAACTTTCTTGAACTGCGAGCTGTCTATAACGCTGTTGGGTTGTAGGGGATCTTGCATATAAATTTGCTTTTGGTTTATTTTGTTTCATGCACAAGCAGTGAATAAAAATAAGAATTGGATTAAGCGACGGGGAAAGAAAAGACTTTTTAGCACATTGACAACAAAGTTGACTGCTGAGAAAGACACAGTGGCGTACAACGAGATATGCAGATGTCTCATAAAGCTTCTTAGGTTACATAGAGACAGGAAAACCAACGAAAACCGACGAAAAACTTTGGATTTTCACAGTTAATGCGCCTGCGCGATCACAATAAATGTTTAATTGGTGGCGAAACGACTAAACATTTGCTAAACAACATTAAACAACGCTAAACATTTTTGACCAGCATCAAACTTTGCTCAACAACACTCAACAGGGTGGCAAAACGAATAAACTTTTCACTAAACAAAAGTTAAGTGAAAGGTTTAGTGAAATATTCAGTGAAATGTTTAGTCGTTTTGCCAGGGCTTAAGAAACTAAATCATTGCCAGTAATGTTTAGCCAACTTCACAAAAACTGAATGCAATGGTTCACAAACACCATAATACTACTGTTTGTATATAGACTATTTTTTACGATGAATGTTGAAAACTTTCTTAAACGGAAAATTTATGAGCACCTCTATAGTCTCAGGCAGTAACTAACGATATTTTTTAGAGTATTGCCTAGCAATACAGCTGCATGTGCAACTAAATTACTGAAGACTTTCTAGCACCACGATAGAAAGTAAAACCTTCGAAAGTAATTCAGGTTGAGTCGAATGCTTAACTAAAAAGATGTCTTTTCCTCCCAGTTCATAATAATATGCATGGCTTGCTTGGCTTTAATACAAAAAGAAATCGAGGTTTTCGTGAAAGAGTAAACAGGCCTTATGTGACCTCTTTTTCATTCTTCCGCGTCCGCTATTGGAGATATTTTAACACTGCGAAATTTCCTACTTCAGAACTGATGTGATGAAATGAAAACCTACCAGTTATTTTGGGTTGCATAACTCTCTGGTAATTGTCTCTATCTACATCTTGGAACAATTTGTCATCTATGACAGCAGCACTGTTTACGACACCTGCTAGTCTGGTGTGAAATTCTAACTCCCTCGCTAAAACTTCGGCTCCTTTTCTCGTACTTATATCTGCCTTCACAAATTTGATCTCAGTCCCATGTCTTTCTTCCAAACTTTCGAAGTTTGCAACAGTACTTTTCGAAGGCTCTGTCCTTCCCACAACAATGATGGTGCCAGCACCTGTTTAGAAGATGAAAATGACAGTTCATCAGACAACTTGCAACAGGCACTTTCAGTATATCGATTTGAAACCAGTTTCTATATTCTAAGAATGGTAAACTTGCTCTGTTTTTTAATTAAAATTGCAAAAAGCCGTTATGTTTTAATCATCACCCAACATATACAGCAATAGAGAAGCTAAGATGCGTAGATTGGAACAAAAGATATTCTGAGTCTAAATATAAAATTTTATATATTTCTATGTAAGAGCTGGAGCGAAGCTGTATGATGCCAATCAAGAAATTCTCTTTTCATTCACATATAAAACAATTCAGCAACGAATAAAAATCTACCCCTTGTAGCCAGCCATGACACCGTGTTCAAACCAAGGCCTTTCGTTCCTCCAATAACCATATAACTACGGTCTTTCTTGAGTCCCTGGATATCCATTGATGGTTCATGCAACGGTACAGTCTCTTTAGCATCTAGGGTAATTTTTATACAATCTAGTACAGCTGACTCTTCAACAAAGCTTTTTGAGCTGCAAATCTCTGCGAGAGTGTAGGATTCGGAATCTGGCATTGAGTTTAGAATACTCTGACTATGCGTTTCTGCCAATTTAGCGATTGACGTTGAAAGGAGTGCGTGAGAAAGTGAGACGTCAAGTAATTTGATGTTCAGTACTGTTATTGATCGGCCGACGTCATATTGGTTTGTTGATGGAGTGAATTCATTATCCAGAAAAACAAAAACTCCATCTACAAGACAAACAGATGATTCTATTAATATATAACAAAGTCTTATCACTTTTACTGTTAAATTTTTTATCTGTTACAGAATATTTATTTTCATTGAAAATGGCTTTGAGAAAAGCAAACTGTATCGCTCATTCAATTTGGATTGGCACAAAGAAGAAAATATAAAGCGAATTTTGTAACGATACATAGTGAGAGCTCTATCCTTTTAAAAAAAATCCCAGCTTTATTCATTTAAATGTATATTAATGTAATTTTGGTCTTTTATAAATTGCAATATGCCGCATTCAGAGCTGTACACGCAAGTCTGTTCTGCTATAATACAGAAAAAGCTGTACACGCGAGATAAACAGGCTCGCTACGTAGAACCATCTCGTTCGGTACCCCAAAGCTTGCATTCATATATTTCTCTATCAATCATTCAACATATCCTCAGTTAAAAGCATCAAGTACCAAGTAATACTTGACGTCTAACCGACTCATTGCTCAAAATTTACGATTGCCTGAAGAGCCTTACCTTTCCTGGTTGCACTTATCAAAGCTTCACGATCAACCGGGTGGAGATCACAGGGGCAGATTACACAATCAAATAGTTTGCTATGTATCCTATTTGCTTTCAGATATTCATTGGAGATATCTTTTAACAGCCGATGCTTCGAATTGTCATTAGAGTTATCTTCCCATGAAACCTCCAAATCTTTAGAAGACGCCACCGAAGCAAGAGCCCAGGTCAAGCCTCTCACAGAATCATTGCCAGCAATAAATATATTGGTTATGCCTTCTCCGGTCTTCAACACTTTCGACATGATTTTATCAGCCAATGCGAATAGCCCTGTTAATGTAAAGGCAAAAAATGTTTAGAACATACAGAATATTAATAACATTAAATCAATTTTTATTGTTCATTTCACATCATACTTTGTAAGAAAATAAATTCTCTCTGATTGGATATTTTCTCTTTGAAGTTAGTTTTCAGTGTCCCTTTTCAGTTAATTTTTTATTTATTATTAAGATACATTTTGGAAAGTTAAATTGATTTCAAAGACCTGTTATAAAATAGAGCTTGAATTATCACACAAATGTTATTTTTACCAGGCAGGATTGAAGCCTCCTCATTAGGCAACGACCGAGGTTTCTTGAAAACCTGTTCTGCTGGGAGTCGGACTCGATCTTTGAGCCACTTGCTGTTGTACACTGCAATGACTTCATCACCGGGCTGCAATCCAACATCGTTCTCTGCTACGTCGATAACAATGCCAAAAGCACATTGTAGCAAATGTTTGGATTCTGTCATTCGTACATTCTTTAGAAGGTGCTTTGAAGTTCCAGTAGGTGACGAGATGTAATGGATGTCTATCAATACTGTGCCATCTGGTCTTATATTCAACCTTGGCAAATCACTTTTTACGCAGAAGGATTCTTTTTTTGCAGACCAGGATACATAAAAATTGCTGATTCCAGACACTTCTTTAAGCTGTCCATCCACTGAAGCCTTGATTGGTAAGAAAGCTTTAGAATAGTATCACGCATTAAGCAAGATAAGTTGAGCAGCTGTCATGTATAGCTTTAAGATTCAAAAAGTGTTTTGGTTACAAAAAGTGTTTGATAATGTCAAGCCAATTTTATGACTGACATTTACTAGTAAAAAGGAAAAAATCATACACCATAAAAGAAAAAGAAGAAAAAATCCAAACAAAATTACTCTGAAACAAATATATTTTAAACTTAAGAAAAAGAGCCACGAAATCGTTGTCAACAGCCATTGATTCAAATATCGCAACTAGAGCAGAAAAGATTCTAAAGACTCAAAATAATTCTAAATCAGAGTTTTACTCAAATGTCACAAGTGTTGGGAAATTACCTTTGCTGGATCTACTCTTTGCAGAATTGGCTGGTACATTGTTGATGGCGATACAACAAGGCCTTCCTCTACTGATCGCAATTGGACAGAGGATAATGCGGCTTTGATATCTTCTTTTGAAGGGTTTTTCTTCAAATCGATTGGAATAACAGGAATATCTGTCTCTATGTTGGTGACTCTAGCTAGGCCGAGGGAAGTTGACCCCCATGGAAGAGAATAATCCTCCTTATCAGTAATGTTGGTCCCAAAAGATTGACAGCAAAAGACAACAATTTTGCTGTTGGATAATTGAGATTCATGAAGTATTTTTAGAATCATCAGAGTTGATTCAAAGCACAGCCACTGTGCAGTGAGGGCTAAATCTTCACCCAAGGATAAGCTGTGTGCAAACGAGGGAAGAAGGTTGATCACCATTACACGTTTTTTGACATCACTTCCTTTTTCTAGTCGTTCCTGGAACTCCTTCGCAAAACTCAATACCATGTCTCCCCCTTTTATTTCGTTGAACAAAATGTGTTCACTTTTAACACCAGATTCTGTTAGGCATTCGATGGTTTTCTTCGTAAGACAGCAATCCTTGAAACCAAGAATCAGAAATTCGTCATATTCTCCAAGATTGTCAGATTTTTGAGAATCCTCTGCTGGGATCCAGTTCATTTCATAAAGACTGCTTTCCATTATCGGGCGTCTCTGTGGTCTTGAAAGCTCTTTCACCTACAGAATCGAATAAAAACCTTAAAATGTTCAAGGTTAATTGAAAAAGACATATTCTTTGCAAAAACTTAAATTTTTTAACAACCTTAGGAATTCAACTACCTACGCACTTTTTTGAACTCGTTAATGCTACCGTCCCTTTTAGAACCTTTCTATAACCGTGTAAATATTTTAGTTCCATCAAGAAAATTGCCTGATAATTGCATTTAGTGTTGAGCTCAGGTTATTAATTCAGGAACCTTCTACTCTACACACCAAACCTAGTTTCACAAAAATGTTTTCATCCAGTACGTTGAAAAAGTTATCTCTGTGGAAACTATTTGCTTTTAAATTTTTATTTAACTTTGACATATTAACTGCGATCGCCAGATACATTTATTATCTGATTCTTTCTGTAGATCTTGATTCAATTTAGTTTTCTACAAGTTAAGTAAGCACGACGAAGAAAGGGATTTATCGTTTAAAGTCACTAGCCACAAGAGCTTTATCAACTAAAAATGAATTCAGCTTAAAACATTGTGAAGCAGACGAGTCAGCAGTACCTGGAATCCATTCAGAATAAGTATTTCTTGTCCGTAGCTATTCATTAATTTGACATTACAACTGTCAGGTGTTGTGCCATCAATCTCTGCAAACCCATACAGATCTCTAAATTTTCGCGACACAGAATTCAAGCGAACTGTTTTGACACCTAAGGAATAGCAATTTCATAGTTTATTTCAGGCGAAGATTTACTTCTACATTCATTAAGCTATGTGGGCCCAAAATATTTAAGATTTTAGTATGAATGCTGCTATCAATGCTAAGGTTATATTCGTTCTTATCAGGTCTGGTTTTGCCATTAATAGCTAGATCACAATATACGCATGTAGACATTGAAGGCGGTTAGATCCAATAAGAGAGGGATTTATAGCAAGATAACAAATAAATACGCACCAATAGGAATAACTTGACGAGTCTGGTCTTTTGAGCCAATCGCTATGCAGGCCTGCAGACAAGCATCTATTATGCAGGGACACACAACGGACTTATCAAGGTCCTTTATCAACACAGGCGGCAGTTTCAGTCTGACTAATGCTTTGCTGTCAGCTGACCACGCCTTCTCGATAAGGCTAAACGTTTCACCAAAATCAAACCCAGTTTGCAATGCAAGGTCTTTGAACTGCTCTGAGCTAAGCACCTCATAATCAGGTCCAAAATTCAACTTAGACATGATGACTATGTCTTCGGGGTTTGCTACTATTTCCGGGACACTTGGCTCAGAATGGTCATCAATACTGGTTTCAAGGTCGCTGTCTTGAATTTCCGTTTGAGATTGCATTCGAATCGACACACCAGAGTCGGTTTCAGAGATCGTTTCTATTGAAGTTTTTAACTCATCCACTAAAATGACAAAAAAAATGATAAAGACAAAGAACAACTTAATTCTACAAGAAACACCGGCCCAGGATATGTTTTCTCTCTTTCAGCCCAGATACAGAAATAATTGGTGCAAAGACGTCATCTGAAGAAACTTAATATCTATGAGAATAATAAGAGTAGCTTTTACACGGGACTGTAGCCCCCATCCCCACTTTTTCGCTAAGTATGATATCAAGGTTGTGGCATCAAAGATAACGGTGGCAAAGAATGACAGGAGCCTTTCTTTTTTTCTAGAGCCCCCTACTCTAAAATAGGCTCCGGCGTCCCTGCTATGAAAGGCGCTGTGCGCCCCTTACTCCCTTCCCCGTGTCTGATATTAAAAAAATTCTTTGGAAGTTTCTTGCTAACGTTTCAACGGTTCCTCCAAAAAGATATCATCGGGGAGGATATAGTCATTTATTCTGTCTTAATTTAATTTAATTTAATTTAATTTAAGGGGGGGTCGTAAATTTAAAGGAAAGTAAAAACGATTTCCATATTCTTAAGTGAAATAGGTTTTGTGTGACGTACTTGCTTCTGCTATTGACATAGCATTCTCATCTGCTTTTTGGTAAATTGAAACCAAGGTAGCTCTTGCAAGTGGCATATCTCCTTGCTCAGTGAAATTAAAAACACTGAAGTCGTGGAGGTCGTCGCATGTTAGCTTGCTTTTTACACACTTTACTTTCCTGACAATGTGTTCATTTAAGGGCAGGATATTTTGGAATATAACATCCTTCAAAACTACTGGCCCAGTTTTGTTGCTGATTGTTGATGCTTCCAGGGCCATCTCTATGTAACAGGCACCAGGCATTATTACTCCTGCAAAATGAAGCAAACAAAGACTGTTTTCCACAGAACGATTGATTGCGTTTTGAATTAAGGCTAATTCACGTTGGCAAAAAATGGTTGGCATCTTCAAGTTTTCCTAATTTCCCGTCTTAACTTTAAAAGTCGTTGTTCTCTTTATTGAGAAATTGATTTTGGAAAAAAACCTTCATGATTTGGAAAAAAACCAACATTAGATTCAATGTTGCCTTTTCTGAAGCCCTGGTATTAAATAAAATTTGCCAGCAAGGAAAAAAATCAAAAAAGTTTTTACTACGGTTTGAAGGCATTCTTCTGCTTGCGCCACTTCAACCAGAAAAAGTGCCAAAAACATCCTTGCTCAGCATTCTTATAACATAATTTATCATTATACAGCTTGTGTTTGGTTTAACAAATCTTTTTTTAGAAGTCTAGACAAATATACATGTAACTTTCGTGCCAAGACAGGCCCTTGAGATTGTCATACCATAAGATACCATAAGATTTCCCCCATTGAGGTATCAATTAAATTTCTTTTTTCTATATAGATGCAACAAACTGTTCAAATAATTTCATCCCGTTTTATGTTAAAAGAGAAAAATCCTTGCTGCCACTAGCAAAAAGTAGAAAATTAAACAAGACCAACCTGCTGACTTCATCTTGTGATCATTGAGATATTTATAGTTAAATAAATCTATCTCATTTTTCCACGTGCATTTCTCTGATGTTACGATTTCAGAGACACCAAGCATGTTCATTGAAAGCTTTGGTATAAGAAATTCGTCTTTTACCCAGAGATCGACCTCCTGCCACGGGTAGTTAGGAAATCGAATAAACTTTCCTTGCCTTTGGTCTTGAAGCAGATTGAAAGATACATCATATCCTAATGTGTACATCTGGCCAATTGTTTGTGCATACAAATGTTGTAATCTTTTCTCCTCTCCCTTTTTCGGCAGTGCCTATTGATTTTAAAAGTGTCTATATAGTTAGGCAACTGGCCTAGACATATTATAAGTGCATACTTAAAAAGTATAAAGACATCATATTTACACTAGTAAAGGTCTTTTTAGCTAAAAAACAAAGGGGAATAATTTATATGGTCACCTTTTTCTTCACTCTCAATTGAGTAGCTCTATTTCAGCTACTGTGCTAATTTGTAGGGTCAGCGTTGGATACAAAGTTCCAGGTGACTATAGATATTTTATGTTACTGCCGACGAATTACGTACCCATATTGAATTTTGAAATGCAATAGTCTTAACTTGAATTTTGAAAGTGTGTCTTTTGAAAGTGTGTATTTTTAAAGTGTGTATTTTTAGGTAAGATGAAGTTTTAAGGGATCGTCAAGCGTCCCCAGAACAAAATACAAATAGCATCAATAAAGGGCCTTTATGAACAGCTCAATAAGATAAACAGGACAAACTTTGTCGTTTTACCTGTATGATAGAAATATTGTCAGATTCCAATTGATTTGCTATTGCTTTGATGTAATGGGACAAAACAGGCCTTGGGCTTATTTCAATGAAAACAGAGATGCCATCTTCTAGCATTTTCTTCACGCATTGGTTAAAAAGTACAGGGTTTCTTAAGTTCCTCCACCAGTAATCATCATCGATTTCGTTGGCCTCGACCCTTCGCCCCTCGGTTGTAGAGACAAATACGGTTTGCGATCGCTTTGGCTTGATGTTTGCTTTCTTTATTCTCTCTTTGAACATGTCCTCGATTGAATCCATGTGGTGGCTGTGAAATGCCTTGTGAGTTGCAAGTTTCCTCCAGAATATGCTCTTGTTCTCTGAATTGATATATTCTTCCACTTTCTCGATTGCCTCTTTATCTCCAGATATCGTTACGCTTGCCTTATCATTCACAGCCGCTATGCAGATTTGCTGCTTTAGGGACAATTGTTCAAGAATTGCCTCAACCTCTTTTGTGGTCAACCCTGAAAGGAACACCGAAACGTTAAAAGAAAAAGGCATAACGGACAGGGCTGGTTACAAAATCCTCACCTACAAGAAACACATTTAAACTAAAGGTGAGAATGATAAGCGTACTAGGTGTAGCTTTTCATAAGCGATAATCGACGTTGATTCCTGTGCTGCGAAATCGGAGCACCGCCTGGACCTCGAACATCTGTAATCTGTAAGATAACTACGATAAAACACCGTAACATTGCATGAATTACTTCCTTGCTGCTATAGTTAATACGATGTTTTTAGCTCAATGACCTTTGCTATTTAAAAATACGTATGGGTAGTCGAGTGACCTACCTATAGCTGCCATTGCTCCAAGTGATTTACACTCGTCTTGCAACGATGCTCTAGCCATAATGACGTCAACTGCCTTCTTCACTTTTATTATGCCAGCTACACAGGCAGCTGTAATGTCCCCTAAGCTATGACCCCCTACAGCTGTTGGGATGATCGAGGCACTCGTTTTCAAGAACTTGGCGACTGCATATTGCAGAGCAAAGATTGACAGTTGCACCGTGACAAGACAGTCCTCTTTACACTTGTCATCTTCTCCTTTCAGATATGCCAACAAAGATCCTTTATGTCCTCTTTTTCTTGATCGTTTGTCAATCCTTTTAATTTCCTTAAACATTGTAGGGTTGGATAGAATGTCACCTGCCATCCCAAGCCATTGAGATCCTTGCCCACCAAACACGAAAGCAACAGAAGTGCAGTGTTTTGAGGTCTTTCCAGCGGTTATGCCTGTGATTTTGTCTTTAGGATTGACGGAGAACCTGGTCAACAATTCTCTTGCTTCTTTCAAATTCGCAGCTGCTATCGCTAGTCGAGCGTTGTGATTGGAGCGTCGCTCACATAGTGTGTAACAGACATTAGAAATATTTTCATCGTTGTCTTCCAGTGTAAGAAGCCAGTCACTAAATGATACTGCTGAATCGATCAAGGCTGCTTGGGACCTTGCTGAAATAACGAAAACCTTCATGGACCCTTTACAGTGGTGCGATATCTTCTTAACATTCACGCTATGTTCATTTTTTGTATCAGCTTCTCGCACAATCAAATGAGCATTACTTCCACCATATCCGAAAGAATTTATGGCTGCAACTTTGGGTTTACTGCTCGAATCTGGCCAATCACAAGTCTTAGTTGTAACCACAAGATTTTTTTCTTCAATATCTAGTCTCACTGCTTGGTTTTCGATTCCAACAGTAGGCAAAATCTTTTCAGTTTTCATCATGATGCAAACTTTGGCAAGTCCGGCCAAACCAGCTGCTGATTCTGTGTGATTTATGTTTGACTTCACACTTCCTAAAACCCCAAATAGCACAATGAGGTGTTATGCTTCTTAGAAAAATACTTATGAGAAAATTTAGAATACCATCTTTTCGTGGTACAAAATTTAAAGATGGCTTTGAATAGAACAAACATTTTGAGTCATACTGAGTAATTCTGAGTAAAACTCAAAATGTTTGCTTTTCTCAAAATATCCATTTCTAAATTTTGTGCGACGAAAAGATTGTGTTCTATATTTTTTCATTTACTGCTCTTATTTGAACATTTCTTAAGGTGGAATGTCATTAGTGACATCAAAGAGATCAAAATATTGCATGTTTCATCGAATCTAAAAACATTTTGTCTTTGAATTCAGACACATTCACATTCAGGACTCAATCCCATGTAGTCGTATCTCAACATTATACTAAAAACCCAATATTTGAAATGTTTATAAGTTAATCAAAAATTGTCTTCTAAAAATTTGGTTTTGAAGAAAGAAAGTGTAATTTTTTGGGGAAAAAAATTAATCGTCAACACTATCATCAATGATACTTAAATAAATCACAGGACATAGCTATTTTAGATATCTAACCTATCTTCACTGGGTTATTTGGTTTCCTTGTTTTGCCATAAACATCACCAACTGATTTTGTTTCAACCATGTCACCAATTATTGTCCCGGTTCCGTGCATTTCAACATATTGTACATCCTGCGGATCAACAACAGATTGTTGCAATACTTCCTTCATTAGATCTCGCTGTGTTTCCACACTAGGTGCAGTAATGGGTGCGGCGGTCTGTCCATCGTTATTCACTCCCCAGGCAAGAATATCACAGTAAGGCTGATCTCTGCAACTGACAAGGTCGCTTGCTTTTAAGACAAATGCAACGACGCCTTCTCCTCTACCGTACCCATTTGCCCTTTCGTCGAACACCTTACATTTGCCATCAGGTGCCAGCATATTTGTCCTGCAAATTGTTATTTGTTTTCGCGGACATAAAACTAAATTAGCAGCAGCTACAATTGCAACATCTACGCAGCGTCGTTCTAGGTGATCGCAGGCAACGCTTAGAGCAGTTAATGACGAAGAACAGGCTGTATCTATAGCAATGCTCGGTCCTGTTAAGTTGAGTGAAAATGAAATTCTGTTTGCAGCAATGGAAAAAGCCGTTCCAGTACTCGCAAACTGATCAAGCGATAGTATGGTGTCATCCTTGAGGACGACAGAGCTATAGTCAAGATTCATTATACCAACATAGACTCCAGTTATACATTGCTGCAGCTCCTCAAGAGTTAGACCAGCATCTTCAATAGCCTCATAGACTCCCTGCAACAACATTCTCTGCTGTGGATCCATGCTCCTTGCTTCCGTTGCTGAGATTCCAAAAAATTGGTGGTCAAACCTCTGGATATTTTCAAGGTACGAGCCATCTGATACATATGCTCTTCCAGCAACAGGTCTGGTAGGGTTGAAAACACTCTCAAAATACTTGTCCCTTGCGTGCCTGTCTGAAGGATATTTCCCCAATGTGCTAGTACCATCCTGTAACATTCTTTGAAATTCAGAATTGCATCTAGCTGTAGGAAATCTCGTCGACATACCGGTAACAGATATTGAAAACTGCCTCTTGTTGATTTTTTTGTTCAGTTTCAAAGCAGCATTTTGTTGTTTGGAGGACTTTTTAAAGTGTAGCACATTTTCAACATCCCCAGGTGAGAGTTTTTCTTCACGGTTCAAAAACGGTGCACAAATTGACAGCATCACTGGAAGAACAGCTATCCCGTTGAAGAGACCAAATAAAATGATTCCAAGAAACATTTTAAAGAAAATCTGCAACATAAAAAAGTGCGTTTAGCAACTGGTTTGGAATCATAATATGCGTAAGTTTTTTTTATTTACAGAACTATCTTTAAAAATCTTTAAGCATATTATTGCATCATTGAGCTGACTGTAATTGGTATTCTATCTCTTTTGTTGTGTATCAAATTTGACTTGTTGCTGTCGTAGAAACGACTGCATGGTATGTATAGGACAATTTTGCAGTGGCCAGTCTCAATCATGAGTGATAATTTAACTTGGTGACAAAACTGTGAATGTTCAATTTACATTATTTAGTGTAGCACAGCAAAAGTGCATCGGTAATGCTAAAATAAAATGCTTGTCATTATTGTTAAACCTTGTAGTAATTTCTTAAAATCGTGAGCTTGATTGAAAAGTTAGACGTCACTTTCTTTCGCATGTGGAAAGAAATCAGCTTTAAGCGAAATGGGTACGAGGTCAGAAGCTCGGCCGCAGTTTTAGAAGACTCAAGCGTAACAACCTCAGAAATAGGTTTTACATTAAATTGCATGGGGAAGCATACTTGGCATCCGGTATTGCATACTAACGCGCTAAGCCTTTCAAAGAATTACGCTGAAAATTATCCTAGTCATTTGGATAATTCTTGATCAATAATAAACCACAAAAGTATCTCGAAAATTCAAATTTCCCATGATAGACTAACACCAGTGTTGACGCACTTTCAAATCATTACATCTACTTTCTTGCATATACATATGATTTTATGCACAATAACAGATGAATTTGACAGGCTTACAGCGTCATCAAACAGACAATGTTTTGCCTTGAGTTTAAATGATGGAAATATGTGTGAGACTACTATCAAGAAATTACCTTACCTGGAAAATGGTCGACGAAGCAAGCCCTGTCAGGGACATACCAAGAAATGTGCTCACTCCACCCAGTAACACACTTCCTCCAACAGTGGAAAGGGCATCAATAATGCGTTCATTAACGTTTTTCCTTGTTGATGTAGCAAACGCATGGGCGATGTGAGCACTATAATCGACAGCAAAGCCTACAGACATGACAATGTTGATCATAGATATCGCGTTCAACTGTATGTCCCAAAAGTACATGAGACCAAATATCTCGACTATCAGTGCAGTGAAACCAAGGTTGACCAGAATAATGATCACTGGGTGCAAACAGAATGGAATTAGTATGATTGTTATAACAGTGGACACTGCAACCAGGTTGCTTGTCACTTCCTTTATGACTGCTGCATACTGTTCAAAGTAGAGGAATGGGTCAGAAGCAACCGTACACTCTAACTGACTGTACTTTTTCAGGTCTTGGCGAAGAGTCAACATGGCATCCTTTTGAAACGTGGACTTAGAGTTGTCTTTCAAAAACACAATAACTCGACTGGCGATAATTTCGTTACTGCTATCAAGAATGATATCGAGGTTATGCTGGCTGTAAACTGGCAGGGAAAGAAATAGTTTTAAATGTTGATTGAAATTCTTGTTGTTAACATTTATTCCGAACCTGTTGACAAAGTCATCAAAATAGTGAATCCAGGTAAAATTTTGCTTTAAGTAATAGCCAGTATTATAAGCAATGTTCGCTAGGTCTGATACCTGTTTACGTACAGCAATGTCAGAGTAGTTCACCTTCCTATTCAACTGTATGCTGACTGGAATTGTCTGTGGGAATTTGCTCTCAAATGTTGTGATGTATTCCGAATAATACGTTCCTTTCACAGCTAAGCTTTTTCGATTGAATTCATTGTTTACATTAAAACATCCGTATATACCGAATGCCAGCAGTCCTATGGTCGATATTATAACAAATGTTTTGCCAAAAATGGAAAGTAAATATTTGCCATATGTTTTCATGAATTTGTGCGCAAAGGAGAAGTCATTTGGTAATCTACAGCATGTGCGATCTTGAACATGTACGCTAGGGCAGCAGTCGTTTCTGTTTGCAAAGATTCGCTTGGCATCGAATGTCAAAAGGGCAACAAACAAAGTGATTTGCAGTAAAAACTCAACATTAATGCTTATTGCAGTGTAGATGCAAAAGTATCGAATGGCTGGGAAGGAGCTAGTGGCACTTATAAAAAATGCGACCACATCAGTAACAGTTGTCATTGTTACCGTTGCACCGACTTTTGACAGAGCAAAGGCAATGCGGTTTTCCGGAATATGGCTTTTCGCCTGTCTATCAAACTCGTCGACAATAATAAACATATCGTCGATGCCAATGCTAACTACCAAAAATGGTACTACTCCAACGAGATTGATGAATGGGATGCCTAGGCCAGTGGTGATACTTATACCAGCCAAAATGCCAAGTCCAGTACTCAGCACACCAGCAACAGAAAGCCAAGTATGACCACGTACAGGGTTTATGAACTTTGTCAACATTAGGCATGAAAAGGTAATCATGACTGTGAACGTAATGCTAACAAGTGAGATGTCACGGTTTGAGCTTTCAGATATTGCGTCATCCAAACTTTTCTCAGCTGAGAAAAATATTTTAATGTGCTTAAGGTTCTCTTTGACTGATTTCATTCTTGTGACAAATTCCGATTCCCAATTCAAAATCTTCCGAAATTCAGTACTGTTGACTGCTTGCTTCAAAAATATCTGTATTTTAAGTGCTTTTGCCAGTGGGATCTGTTTCTTGTCATCCAATTTGAAATCCACAAAGCCATCTTTCAAGTTAAATATTGCAGCCCTTCCATTGGACATTAAGACACTCGTTGACTGCAGAGCTCTTTTGAACTTTCTATATAAGACTTGAACGTTTTTCTCCCGCCCTGACACTATTTCCAGAGGGTTCATCTGTGCACAGTTTTTGCCTCTTTTATAAAGTCTAGGCGCTTTTTTTAAATAGCCCGGACTTAATCTGCAAATATCCTCATACCCAGTTATGTTTTCAGCTATTTTCAAAACTTCAAGAGCCTCCTGCACACTGGCTATATCAAAGACATTGCTTCCATTTTTAGGGATAATGAGCAACTCTTCAGTTCTCGTATTAAAGGTGTTAGAGAAAAAACGACTCCCTATCTTCAAGGCTTGTTCAGCTTCAGAATTCTCAGGTACAAACAATATTGATGACCTCTTCTCATGTCGCATGCGCAGTAAACCAGTCGTGGATAATGCTACTCCTATCAGGGCTATAAGGACAGTTTTCTTCGGGTTTGTGGCAACCTTTTTCCCAATAATCTCAAAGAAAACTTCACATCGAGCAAGAAGTGCGCGAATGCAGATGATATATCTATACCACCAAGCCACCAATCGACTTCTTTTTGAAACAGACCGCACAATAATCTCTTTCTTCATACTTGCATTTTTCAGACACCTAAAACAAGAGTGAAACGCAATATAAGTAGAGAAAAGGTCAGAATATCTTACAAGTTTTTTGCTAACGTATTTTCGGATTCCTTTTTTGGATTTTCGATAGAATCTTAAGTCCGATTCTTTTTCTGTTAAAATAGTTTCCTGTTTTGTTTCTCGTCTGCATCGCACAGAAAACGTTACATTTACCGCAAGATTCAAAAATAGAATTAACAAAATGGCATCAGAAAGCAGACAATTCCGAACCTTATTCTGAATTTACTAGAAAATACTTTATTGATTTATAAATATTTACAAATATAAATTATAAACATAAATATTTGCAAAAAGAAATTATCCAGCCTTAGCCACTGATGGTACTTGTCTTAACCAATGACTATCCAGCCCTGGCTGTAATATCAGAGGAATGCTACAAAAGCTAAAATCAATCGTGTGTCCAAGGAAATGAGGATACGGGTAATTCTCATAGAGCATTTCTGCAATCTACTGCATTTAGCGCAACCCTTCACCTGGCGTTATAGTATCAAAATAATATCACCTGGCGTTTAAGTTAGCCATTTTTAAATTTCTCATCGCTTTCCGCATTTTAGCAGCATTCGTGGTAACTGGCTCTCAACATACTTTCATTGACTGTTTAAGCAATTGAAAAATAATTGCCTCAATGGTGGTCATGACCAGACTCGGACAACGTTTGGATCTAATCGCAGAAGGTTTCGTACAAGGCAATACCTGCTCATTCTGTTTGTCTGTTTACATTAGCATATGTAGCTAGCTATTTTCAGACGGTTTTGATAAAACTAATCAAAAAACAGATTTTATGGTTTGCAGTGCTATAGTCTTTGGTTTGCAGTGTTATAATTGTAAAAATTATAGGAAGTTGTAAAACATTGTAAGTAAAAACGAAGTTAATAGGTTCTTTTTTTGTTGGCCTTCCATTTTTAACCTTTAGATATCTTTTTCAAAATCTAATCAAATTGGTGGGTAATCTTATATTTTGTTGTATTGGGGAGAGCTGAGGCCATACACATCAGGTTTGGAGGAAGATCATAACATTTCGCAACTCTGAGAACTACATAATGCAAATAACGCTACCAAAAAACGATTTTTAAAGTTTGGGCGAGAGGTCTTTGAGAAATCGTCCATTTATCATGAAATTGTCAAGACAATTGATAGTAATTTAATGAATAAAACTTTTCTAAACTTTGTTCATATAATTTACAGAAGATTCCTTAAAGCATAAAAAAGAAAAATATGCTATCTCCGGTCAATCGTTTTAACTTGGATTTTGCAGTATTTGCCAACGGTCTTCCAGGAATGAATGAGCCTCTTGAGTTTTTCTAATTAACAGTTTAAATAGATGAAAGTTTGAGACATGTGAAGTAGGAAGCCTGAAAAATCGTCTATGCTGGTTTTCTGAATCTACTTAATTGAGGTTCTCTTTCAAGCCCTGGGGATTTGCATGCATTTGGTATCACTAATAATATTATTTCTTTGAAACGTTTTCAATTTTTCTCTTTTGAATGACAGAGGCTATGAAAAATATGGCAAAGAAGTGGACACTAATTTTCTTCAATATCGACGCTGAGTACTTTCACGAAATTTTAGAGTTCTTGCCTACTAAAAGATTCAATTTTTCTTCCTTTTTCAGCTTTGAGCACTAAATTTTTCCGATTGCCCAGTTATCATTTCCTCTGGTGGGTTACTTATAAATAAAAAGGAGTTTGTTTAGGAAGAAAACAAAATACATCTACTCGTGTTATAATGATAGTAATAAAATAATAATGTTATGATATAAGATAATAATAGTAAAAACAAAATTAATTGGACATTAGCCAACGCCATTGGCGATGAGGAAAACCAAACAAAAAATGAAATGCAATAACTGAAATAATAAGATACTTTGAGGAACATTAAAGCATAAAAACAACCAACAATTTTCTAACAAACAACTCAACCTTAAGCTTTAAACCAATCACCAAAGAAAGCCTAAGGCTAATAATTGTGAAGCTTAATCACAAAAAGGCACATGGGCATGATATGATAAATGAAAAATTCGTAAAGATCTCAGTTGATATCATCCCACAACCCCTCTTGAACATGATAAATAAATGCACTATTCAAGGTACATTCCAAATGTCTTAAAAAAGGCTATAGTTTCCCCTGTCTATAAGAAAGAAGATTCTTTCAATAAGGCAAATTATAGACCAATAAGTCTACTCACAACACTTTCTTAGGTATTTGAAAAAGCAATAGGGCTTTAACCTTCTCCATGTCTTGAAGAAAAAATTTCGAAATTCTTATGCGCATATGAAAACACTTTTCTTCCCAGCACGCTCTTTTTAGACTTATTGAAGAATGGAAAACAGAAGTGGAAAGGAACAAAAATATCGGTGCTGTCCTTATGGATTTGTCAAAAGCCTTTGACTGTCTACCAAAAACCTACTTTTAGTAAAACTACGCGCCTATGGTGTAGATAGAAATTTTCTTTTACTCGTACAAAACTATCTATCTAAAAGAAAGCAAAGAGTCAAAGTGAAAGGTCATTGCAGCTCCTGGGGTGAACTTGGACAAGGAGTGCCACAGGGATCAATACTTGAACCTCCACTTTTTAATATTTTCCTAAACGATATTTTCTACAGCCTTAGTGAAGGGTCTTTATGAAATTTTGCTCTTGACAACACGATATCTGTTTCTGCGACAAATACTGATGAACTATTGCAACTTGCACAAATTAACATTTAAAAATGTCTTGATTGCTTTAAATCAAATAAAATGAATGCAAATCCCTCTAAATTTCAAGCTATCTTAATCGGCAGCAAAGATGTAAATGCATAAGTGAGTTTGAAATTGAAAAAGAATTTGCAAATAAAATAGAGAAAACGTTACTTTGCTTTGTCATCAGATCGATGAAAATTTAAAGTTTGATGCTCTTATCGATAAAATCTGTAAAAAAGCAGCTAAACAGTTAAATTCTTTGAAAAGATTGGCAAGATTTATGGGTGACAAAGAAAAAAAGATAATTATGAATTCATTTGTACTATGTCACTTCGATTATTGTCCATTGATATGGATGCTATGTGGTAAAGGAAGTCAGGATAAGCTAGAGAAAATCAACGAGAGGGCACTAAGACTAGCCTTTTCGGACTATTCATCTTCGTACAAAGAATTACTTGCTAACTCAAAAGAAACTACCATACATATCTAATCAGTTAGAATTTTAGCGCTTGAAGTTTATAAAATATTTAACAACCTGTTTTAATGAAAGACTATGTTGTACCCTAAACAACAGGTCATAACCTTCGACTCAAAAACCCTCTTGACATTCCAAAAGCCAGACATCCAATAATGGTATCAGATCATTAAGTTTTCATGGGCCTAAATCTGGAATTCACCCCGTTTCGTTTTGCATCAAGTAATATGTCTTATGCAATCCTTGAAATTGCTTTATGTTAGTCTTAACTAATGGTTTTCATTGTTGTAAAAACTAACATTAAATAATCTATACAATACAAAATCTTAAATGTATACATCATATATTTAGACATAAAAAAGATCCTAGAAAATATTTATAAATTTTCCTTTATCATTATGCCAAAATGTTAAGATTTTTAAGGGGTTTATTGAAGGCCACCACCATGAAAGGTGGAACGAAGATTTGAAAGTATATTGCTGAAATCTGCATCCAGAATATCAACAACATATGTCAATTTAGGCCTAATGATGATGCTAGACTAGAAATTATATTTTTATCATCAACCCTTATTGTTTCCAGTCATTTTTAATTTGACATGACCAAAACATGGCAAGATCAGAAGTCTTGAAAATTTTAGGAACATGTTTGAAAACAAGGTACTCATATCCAGAATATCAAGGTACACATGCTACTGATCTACTAGAGATTGTGCACAGTGATGTATGTGGACCAATGCAAACAACCAGTCTAGGCGGACATCGATATTTTGTTACTTTTATCGATGATAAATCAAGATTTACTGCAATATACCTCGTAAAAAACAAAGATCAAGATCTTCAAAAGTTCAAAGAGTTTGAAGCCATGGCAACAAATGTCACTGGACAGAGCATCAAAAATCTACGATCAGATGATGATGGGGAATGTAATTCAAATGAATTTAATGATTTCTGGACACTCAAAGGCATTTCAAAGCAGAGAAGTGTCCTAAAACACCAGAACAGAATGGGGACACAGAGAGAATGAACAGAACCATTGTAGAGACCGCAAGAGCAATGCTGGATGCTGCTAAATTACCAAATGATTTTTTGGGGAGAAGCAGTTGCAACAGCAGTCATTTTGAGGAATCGTAGTCCGACTAAAGCAGTGAAGGACATGACTCCATATAAAAGTTCTTATGGAAGAAAACCTGATGTTATACATTTGAAAGTATTTGGATATGATGTTTAAATGCACATTTCAAAAGAGCTCACAAAGAAGTGTGATTCAAGATCTAGGAAGGGCATCTTTATTGGGTACAGTCGCTACAGAAAATGTATCGTCTATTTGATCCACGAACAAAAAACTTTATGAATCTAGAGATGTTGTAATTGTTGAAATCGGAACACATTCATTGGTTAATGTTGACTGACAGATGGCTGAAGCCACTTTTGTATCTGTCAATCGCCTTTAAAGCCCCGGCAAAACGGGCTCAAAACAAGCTCTCGTCGTCGTTCAGTAAAAGCCTCCAAGCCTCTACTCGCAGCTTCACGTCGCCATTATGAAAACAGGACGGTCAGCGGTTTAAATAAGTTGCTTTAAATAGGTTAAATAAGTTAATATAATACTATCGATTGCCATGGCTACGACAGGGTTCCTTTCTTAAAAAATACAATATGGTACAAAGGGTTGTTTTGGCTACGACAGGGTTCCTTTCTTTAGAGGAATATAATATGTTACAAAAGATATCTATGGAAACAACAGGGTTCCTTTCTTTCACAATACCATATTTAGAGAGCAGCAAAGGTTTTGGTACAAGAGGCCATTTGACGTTG